TCTATGTGTGTGTGTGTGTGTGTGTGTGTGTGTGTGTGTGTGTGTTTCCCTCTCTATATATGTAACTCTAACTTTCAAATAAAATAAATGAATCATTTAAAAAAAACATCACGAGTAAGTAATAATCCTATAAAAAGTAGGGATTTCAAATTTTTTTATTATTATTATTTTTACTTACTTGGAAGAGAGAAGACTGAGAAAATCTTCTATTTGCTGGTTCACTCCTCAAAGCCCACAGCACCCAGGATTAGGCCAGGCCAAATCCCCGAGCTTGGAACTCCATCCGTATGAATGGCAAGGACTCAATTATTTGAACCATCCTTTGTTTTTTCCTTGGATACACGTTAAAGAGGAGCTGAATTGCAAATAGAGTAGTGGGGACTTGAACCAGCCACTGCAGTATGGGATGCAGGCACTCCAAGCAGTGGTGACTCAACCACCACACAAATGCCTGCTGCTAAATAACTGTTTAAGAAAGGCAATTTAATGGTTTACAGATATTTCCTAATTTTGTTATAGAAAAGCAAAATGAGATCTTGGGTTAATAAATGGAATCAGTAGTCTGAAGATCAGGGAGAAACAAAGTGATAGTTTATCCCCGTTAGAGAACTTGTTAAAGTTATGTGTACCAAAGGAAGAATTGTACTTTGTTCAGGGACTCTGTGCTAATAATGTGAGTGTGATCTTTGGAATCTAGAAAACACCCACAGTTTGCTTTGTGTGTTTGGTCACTTGGGGACACAGATAATCTCAGTCACTTTCCTGATTATGTTGCCGGGGACTTTATCTGAACAGTTTGTGAAGCTGAAGGGCATCGAGTCCATCACAACTCAATGCCTGAATGCAAAGATGACCAAAGATGAGGAACATTGGACAGTCCTTTCAAAAATTCCTATAGAAAGAGCAATATGGAGACAAGAAAGAGAATTTACTGAGGAAGACAGTGAGAGCATAGTTACCATTGTAAAGGTAAATTTGAAATGCTATACAAAGTCGTGAGCAAAGAAGCCAGCATATTATTACATTGGGCAAAAAGTTAAAGGGGACTGGAACTTCTAAGGGATGTTTCTGTGACGTGCGAAGACACCATGGTGATGTTTTCTCTGGAAGACAGTGATTCAAATATTTTGTTTAATCTGCTGTCAATGTTTCATGACCCATCTCAGCTTACAGAGCCTTAGTTGATTGCCTTTCCTGTTTAAAATGAAGTTCATTCTGTTTCCACAATAAAGGAAAGTACGGCTTTATGATGCAAAACATTGCTTGAGGTTCAAATGCCAAATAACAAATATTGATGTCAAGAAATATTTTCGGAAAAATTTGAAAGAGGAGAGCATGGAAGGCCCTGAAGTTCCCTGTTTTTTCCTCTTTGGAGCTCCTGTCCTATAAAGCTCCAGTCAAAATGGGAGAGAGACAACTTTTGGAGACAAATCAAAATTCTAAATGAGAGACACACTTCACTGGAAAACCAAATGAGATTTTTCATTTTGTTAAAAAAAGATTTATTTATTTTCATTGGAAAAGGCAGATTTGCAGAGAGAAAGACAAAGATCTTCCATCCAGTAGTTTACTCCCCAAGTGGCCTCAATAGCTGGAGCTGAGCCAGTCTGAAGCTAGGAGCTTTCTTCAGGCCTCCCATGCAGGTGCAGCATCCCGAGGCTTTGGGCTCTGCTTTCCTAAGTTAAGGGTAGGGAGCTGTGTTGGAAGTGGAGCATCTGGGACATGAACCAGTGTCTAGGTCAAGGATTAGCCAGTTGAATCATCATGTTGCCCCCCCCTTTTTTTTAGCTTATTTTTATTGGTAAGTCCTAGGTTAGGGCAGGAACAAAAACACACCTGATTGACAATTATTGATTTAGACAGCGAAAATAAACAAGTGATGGTTATAAATGCATCTGGAATTTTTCATTCTTTTCACAGCATGAGGTGACATGATGTGGGTCCACAAGACATAATCTTGAATAAGATTGCCAAGCCTAGTCCTTGTTCCGTCTTTGCCAATGTCATTGAACTTGCTTCTTTTTGCTTCTTCAAGCCCCTATTCCTTCCTTCATCCTTAAATAAGGATGTTTTAATTTTTTCAGTGTCCACGTGCATGTGATATGATCATGAGTCCCCTTCAAAGCTGCTCACAGTGCAATGGAACAGAGGGAGAAATCATTGTAACCTCTCTTTTACTTAGCCTCTTACACGGTTCTTGGTCCCAGGTGGCTACTATTATATAAAGGGTTTCTCTATCCATCCCTGCATGTGAACACATGGAGAGTAACACAGAGTACATTCCAGTACCTTGGTCCCAATTGGCAACTTTAAGAATGATAATTGATGCCTGAGGAATGTTCCACATTTCATAACTTTCTTCTCTATTTTACCCAAACCAGACCATTCCGTGACAACAAAGGCCTAAAGGTTTGCCCTGTAAACATTCCAAAATCCTGTTTAAACACCTGTTGGAATTATCAGTGTCAGCTCCCTAAGATACAAGACTTTAATAAAAATCAAACCTTTTGTTTTTCCATTTAAAATATAAAACAATATCCACAAATAACAAATAGCTTTTTATTTCTTTTTAATCAACTCAGGGAATCTAGCCACATTTTATAAAAGACGTTTACAGGGCCTGGCAGCGTGGCTTAGCAGCTAAAGTCCTCGCCTTTAACGCCCCGGGATCCCATATGGGTGCCAGTTCTAATCCTGGCAGCTCCACTTCCCTTCCAGCTCCCTGCTTGTGGCCTGGGAAAGCAGTTGAGGATGCCCCAAAGCTTTGGGACCCTGCACCCGTGTGGGAGACCCGGAAGAAGTTCCCGGCTCCTGACTTCGGATCAGCATAGCATGGGCCGTTGAGCTCACTTGGGGAGTGAATCATCGGATAGAAGATCTTCCTCTCTGTCTCTCCTCCTCTCTGCATATCTGACTTTCCAATAAATAAAATAAATCTTTAAAAAAAATAAAAAAGGTTTACTTCTAAAGATGATTCTTAACTCGTCAGCTTCCTATGATGTGGCCTGTGGGTAAGTCAGGTCTTATGATTTTCTCATAGCTCTTTCCATCTTTATCCTTCACACCCACACGCTGTGTCTTTGAACGGGTAAAGAAACAATCTCCCTGAGAAAATTACTTTTCTAGCTTTTCTTTGAAACCTACGCAGTATTTTTAAGTGACCAATTCTGTGAAAATGTTATTAAGCATAACTGAACTGAATACAAGCCACTTGTTTTGAATTGTGATAATCACCAGTGAGTTTGCAATGTGTATTCCATTAGGGTTTAGACCATGCTTTTCAAGTTTCTTTTATAACTACCATGCTTTTGCAAGTCTGAGCTATATATCTAACTGTATACTTGACAATGTTTCTTAAATCACCAATGTGCAACCTAATTCTACCTAACCCCCAAAGTAAGGCCTTTTTGGAAAGCAGAGGTCTTTAAGAAGTTCATAGAAAATGCATTTTGCAGGAATCGTAGCTCCATCTACTTCTGCCATGTAGTGGGCAAATCTTGAGGTAGTCTGGGCCCGAAGCTTGAGAATTTACTGCATCCACAGCCACGATGCTGTGGGCAGATCTTGAGTGGATCTGGGCATGTTCAGGGTTGGGGGATTGGAGGAGCCTGGGTCTTCTGGCCTAGTGACTTGTGTAATGGATGCCAGGCCCATGAGCCCTGGGGATGGGGTCCTCTAGGTCCCAGGTCACAGGCCTGGGCTCTTGGGCCCACCTGCATGGTGGGTACCATGATCCCCAGGGGTGGGGATTCCAGTGGGTCTCATGTCACATGGCCCTGGACCCTGGGTCTGCATTCATGGTGGGTACTGGATCCTTGAGCCCCAGGGATTTGGGGTCCTGAAGGGACTGGGTCTCCTGGCCCAGGTCTTAGGACCCACCTGTTTTTGGGTGCTGGATCCGTGAGCCTCAGGGTTAGGGGTTTGGAGGGGCCTGGGTCTCCTGGCCCAGATCATTGGGCCCACCTGCATGGTGGGTGCCAGCTCCATGAACTTCAGAAATGGGGATTCCAGCGTGTCATGGGTTGCATAGTCTGGGGCTTTGGGCCCATCTGTAAGGTGGGTGCTGGATCCATGAGACCTGGGGTGGGGGCTCTGGCTTGCCCGGGTCGTCTGGCTCAGGTCCACAAGCCCACCTAGAACTGGTCTTCCCCAGTATAAAGAATGGAGTGCTGGACAACAAACCATGGTGCTCATAAAAGACATGGTAGCTCATTGGGGCCTGCAGAGAGAATCTGGTACCATAGCAGAGAATGGAGAACAGAACAAATGAACAACTACCCTAGCCATATGATGGCAGCAAATACGTGGGTGAATGGAAACTATAAGGTTGAGTGTATCAGCCGGTGGAAATTAGAAAGAATTCCTCATCCATAGGTCAATGAGGACAACAGCATTTTGAAACTATCACATCCACCTGGGCAGAACCTTCAGAGCATGTGCCACATTGCAACCCTGGGTTGATATTGGGTGGCCTTTCCCCATCCTAGGATGGAATGCTTGGGAGGCTGGGTTTGGCCTATCCCCTTGTGTTCCCTCTCCCCCTGAAATGGGAATAAAAAATAGAACGTTTGGAAACAGTAATCACACTCACTTCTCTCTAACCCTAGATCCTTCCCACCCTGATTGAATATGTAAACATCATCTAAAAGAATAATAACAATGCATTTTGCAAAAATATATTGCATAGATCTCAAAAAATTTGCACCAAATCTATTTTAAAATTCTATCTTATCTTCTGCAAACTTTCTGAATCCCTCTCATGTTGCAAGAATAGCAGCTAGAAGGACTGTAGTTGCACAGACCTCTCTGCAGGCCCTTTCCCATAGCAATGCTCAGGTAACAAAGGAGTGGCCTGTTTTCCAAGATTCAGGTAACCCTTCTCTTCCTTGTGAAAGCAAATACTGCAAGGTCTGTTCCCTTCTGCAGGACAGAACAAAGCCCAAGCTTGCTTCACCGCGAAAAAAAAAAACAAAAAACAAAAAACAAACAGGTATTTTTCATATTTATTTTCAGTTTATTTTAAAAGCAAAGAGAGGCAATATCTTCCAACTGCTGATTCTAGGCCAGGAGCCTATAACTGAATCTGGATTGTCCGCATGGGTGGCAGGGACCTAGGTACTTGGGCTTCCTGTGTGCATCAGCAGAAACCTGGATCAGAAACAGAGAACCTGGGACTACAATGAGGCACTCCGGTATTGCACATGGGCATTCCAAGTGGCAGCTTATCCTGCTGTGCCACAGTGCTCACACCAGTGGTGGGTTTCCAGGGGCAGGGAAGCAAGGCACATCTCTTGAGACTCACTGAGCACTAGAGGAAGCACAGAGATTAGAATGAACCCAGGCTGAGGGCTAGAATCTAGGTCCAATTGTTTTCAGGTATGTTTCACAACCAGAGGAGAAACACTTTCTAATTATTCTTGACTACCACTTTATTTCACAAGCAGTGGTGGAGATTTCCGTTATCCTTGATTATCAGTTCCCAAGGAGAGGGTGCTGAAAACTCAGGTCCCTTGACAGCTGTGTGTGTGTCATCAGTGCTGGCCTGTGACAAAGTTGTGAGGTAGATGTGCTCTTCACCTTTTGCAGATGAAGACTCCAAGATGCAGAATTTGACTGGAACCCAGCTCATCAAATGGGTGGCACCTTGTCCTTGTGCAGTCTCTTCAATCCTTCTCCTGTATCATCTCCAAAATCCAGTCCACATACTCAGCTACTTTGGTATAGACACCAGGGTGGTCCCTGCGGGCACAGCCTTCACCCCAGCTGGTGATGCCCACCAAATGCCAGTTGCTGCTGTACTTACAGACTAAGGGACCACCTGAATCTCCCTGTGTTACAGTGGGTAGAAAAACAATGAAAAATTACATGACAGATACCATTCAAATAGTGAATTTTTAGTCAAATTTCACACACCATACACACCATAACATAGTTTCTTAAACTTCACGTATCTCATGCAGATGATCTTTCAGATATGTTTACAATGATTGATTTAACAGTGCATGCTTACATTTTCCATTTATTTTCTTTTCCATTCAGATGTAATTTCAACAAGGACATTTGACATCACAATCCCAATGTCAAAGAAGAATAATGTTCTTGTATTTTAGGAGAAATACTCCATGTACATTTGTCCTCCTTTATGTTTAGCATGTACACACACAGACTATGACATATACACCCAAAACCATACATGATGTACATTGTATAGCTGTCAAATTGTTAAAGATTGTTTATAAAATAATTTGTCGTTGAATTTTTAAAATAGATAACTGAAAGGAAATATACTATTGGGAAATATATCTTGATATAAATTATCTCTAGGTGCCTATTATATTTTTAGAATAATTACCTTACAGGCATCTTTTCCCCCTTCTTTATAGCCAGCACAAATCATCTGTTCAGTTATTTTATGATCTCTATAGCTTTTCTGGCACTCTGCATTCGTCACCAAAGGAACAGTTGCCTTTTGAAGAGTGTTTTGGATTTTACCTGTAATAAATAACCAGGGTGTAACTTCAGAGAAAGAGAATAAAATAAATATGGAAGTAAGGTTAAAGTCTTAAAACAATTGGGGTCATGGTTTTGAAGACAAGTAGGTAATGAAGGTTGGAAAGATAAAGGTGGAGAGAGTGAGAAAAAGAGAGAGATCCAGAAAAAGAGACAGCTGTAAATTGGCATCTTATCTCTTAGAGATGTTAAGATAACCCCTAGCAGCACAGGCTGACCAGAGACTTTCCACCATATCTTCTTCCTAACAGAAGTCCCTATTTGTATTTATTGTCTACAGTTCAAAAGTTTGCAAGATTTACCCCTCTCTTTCATTTTATATGTTCAAAATTAGCATTTACAAATATGCCATTTCTAGGGGGGAAAACTCTCTGGCAAAGGAGGAACATCTCTTCTTCACAAATATTTCCATGAAGATCAACTTAAGTATAAATACCTAAATTTCTCCCATTGTTCAGGTTCCCCACTAAATAAATGTTGAGAGACTTGGTTTAGTTAAGATTACTTTTAATTTCTGTCTTCCTCAAGGGAAGATTTTGAATTTAAATCAATTGAATAAATAAATTAGAAAAGATGGAGGGATTTGGAAAGCTGTTCCTTATACTGTCCATCAGAAAAAACTGGATTTTGGAAAAGAAGTATGATCAATTTTGTGAAAAGTTTAAAGACAGGTAAACTGGGTTTCTTAACTTAGGGTGTATTGAAAGAATTTACATGGTCCATAAACTTGGGCTGGATAAAGTATACCTTTCTTTTTACTAATCTCCAACTGAAATCTCATATTCTCTTCAGTTACAAACGTAGGCACCAAGCGTAGTAGTCTTAGCAGTGCCTATGAGTTTGCTACCAATAGAGATTAAGATAGTTTTGCATCACATTATATTTATGGCAGATAACTGAAAATATTGTTTGTGCTATCATCTGTTCAAAATTGGGATAGGTATTAGAACCCTATTTTTAATATGTAAACAAATATATTTTATATATTAATACTTATAATATATAAAATGCAAATAAATATGATTGCATCATATCTTAAGTAAATTTGATGACTGTAATTCAACTTAACTGGCTTCATTTATCGTCTCGGGAATTTTATTGAAGCATGGAGAAGCATCGTTAGAGAAGTGTTTCACAGGCTTCATCAGATTGCAGCAAAACCAAGAACTACCCGCAAACAGAATAGACATGCCTTCTGGACATTAACATCAAAAGAGAACATGGTTTGAGGAAAAGGGCACACCAGTTATACTGAGCATAAGATGAACTGAATGGGTTTATTGGCCTTAAGTAGTTCAATCTTTGTGAAGCCCAACAAATTACCTGTATATGATGCTTAAAATACTACCGTATGATTTTTTTTGAGTCCCAAGTAAAAATCTCCTTCTTTAAGAGTCACTGGAAAAATATTTGGAATAAATAAGATCATGATGCTTTTAGACAGAAACTGATTAAATTTGTCTACTCCGTGTATTCTACCAAGACTTGCTCTAGGAAAAATATCAAAAATGTCAGGCTGTACCTTTTTCCTTTGTGTAGCCCCAGCCTGTTATCCAGCAGTTGGTGTAAATTATGTTTGTATCTTCTTTGGAAGGCAGGCATACTGCTTTTTGGTAGTCTGAAAATTAATTCTTAAATTAGAGTTTGGTTCAATGAAGTTACAGGCATTAGCCATGAGAAGACATCCTTTTCCACAAAATAGCACTTCTGTATTATTTGTAAGGTCAGTGATTCAAGATTTCTCACCAGCAGAATAATGTTCACCTGACATTTACTTATAAAGCTTTCTGAATTAAATAAATAAAAAAAAAAAACTCAGAACTCACACTGAATGTTAAAAGCATTTGAAAGTTCTTAAAGTGTGCAAACCCATAATTGATAGTCACAGCAAAGTGTCTACACCTGTTCATTTAATGGTTATTATGTCAATGAAGTCATCATCATTTCCATTTTATAGATTAGGAAATTAAAGCTGCAAAGAGGTGAAGGTGACACGGTCATCACAGACACAGAGGCAGGCAGTTTCGTGGAACACCATCCCTCCATGTCAGCCCCTTCAACTATAGTGCTTTGGGATTTGCTGAGGCTCATTCTGCATTAGTCCCTTCTCTGGTCACATTATGTCCAGAAGTTAGCAGTCTAGTCCTTCTTGCCCTAATATATTCCCCATAAACCCAGGACAGTGCTGGTTCTTTCCATCTTGTCAAACAAACTACAAAACACAAAGGTATTTCCCAAACCTATTATTGCAAAATTCTATATACACTTGAATTCTTCTTTAAAATAACTGATTAAAATTCATTGCCCTTTAAGTAGACAAGATTTTTTGAGAAATTTTAGGTAACTTCATTTTCCTGGTAACTATATGTTTCCCACAATTTTACCAGCCAGAAAACAATCTCTCCAGGTGTCCCCTTTCTTTCACGCAAGTTTGAAAAATTAAGTCACCCCAAAACCTTCAAAGAGCTTCCCCTTAAAAATGCTACATACCGGTGTAATTTAAAGGAGTCTGAAGTTGAATTAAGGCAATATCATGACCAATCTCTGAGATTTGATAACTTGGGTGAATAATAATCTTTTTTATTCGTGAGAAAGGTGTTTCTTTTGTAATCTCTGATAGATGTAAGATTCCACCATAAATGCGCCAAACGTCTGGAAATAAAAGCCTAGGAGAGAAAAATAAGTGTTGAAACTGGCAGGCCTGGTCTTTGAGGGTGTTCCTTTTTTTTCTATCATGTTTCATTCTCAAAAAGCACCAGCAGAGAAATACTACATATGCCATGCATTTTCCTAGTTAATTTCTTCTCCTGGTGTTTTGTCATCACCCTCAGTAGCAGAGCTTTATCTTTTAAGATTTAATTTGAACTATTGATAAGTGTGTGTCGTTGTCCCTCAGCGATGGACTTGGTGCACGGAGCCGATAATAACACACGTGGATCCTGACTGATGGTCAAGAGCCGAAGTTTATTAGGGGCATCAGACTTTGTACACTGAGAGTCCGTATGGGATAAGGAAAGAAGTATTGAGCTCATCAACAAAGTCATCAGCTGTTTCCCTGCTCTTGATTGGAATTCCTTTTGTTTTGTATATTCCACCCGGTGTTCTCATTTACATGCTGTAGCCATTTGGTTGTTCTCATGCAAATACTGTCCAATGAACTGCAATCCTGTGCTCGCTGACCTTCCAGGGTCACAATGTCCTCCTACAAGTGTGCATTTCTGTAGCTGCTTCATGCTTGTTTCAAGTAAACTACAAGAATTTTACTGCCCCATTCAGACAAATGGCAGTGGGGAGAGACTCAATATTTAATGAGAAAGCCAGCTTAAATTCACAAAATCTGAAAGGAATTGCTTTCATTCAACTCAGAGCTATCAAGTTAGGCTGATCTCACACCGTCTCCTCTACTAGGGCAAATTGTAGGGACTTCTCTGTTGTCTTAAATGTATTTGTATTTCAAAAAGTATGATAAATTAACTTTTAAAAGATGAATATGTACAAAGAAAATCCAAAATTACAATCTAGAATAGTTTTATTTTTGCAAAGATCAAAAAATTTATTACTACCAAGTGAGTGTGCATATAGAAGAAAATAATGGAGCTACAGGGGGAAGGTGGTTTTCTTTCACTTAAATCCCAGTGTTCTGCATCTATTAGGCCTTACAATCCACAAAACTAGGTTTGCAAAGGTGAAAATTCTTATTCCTAAGTTGGATGTACTTAACTAAGGTACCTACTATTTCCCACTTTAATGTCTTTTCCTCCTTTAGCGAAGCTATACACCCCTAGGTGCCAATGTGGTCTTTCCATGTGTCCCTTGATGCTGCTGTGTTTGGGAGGCATGGAAGGAAGGTGTAGAGGGGCAGGCAATATCTTCAATCTTGGTACCTGGTAACTTGAATCCTGCCCTTTGATGAAGGAGAAGTGATTAATTTATGCAAACAAAATGCCTTGGAATTGGTGATGTGACATAAAATTTAAAGCTGCCTCCTACATCCCATATGAGTTCTGATTCGTGTCCCTAGGGCTGCACTTCAAGTCCAACTCCATGATAATGGCCAACCCGGCCCAGGAAAGCTACAGAGGATGATCCAAGTGCTCAGGCTCCTGTCATGCATATGGGAGACATGGGCAAAGCTCCTATCTCCTGATTTTGAACTGGCCCAGCCCCGGTTATTGGGATAATCCAAGGAGTGAAACAGCAGATAGATTTCTCTGTCTCTCCTGCTCTCTGTAACTCTGATTTTTGAATACATAATATGATAGACATTTCACCTCTCAGAATAAATATAAACTGAAGGAGTTTTTTGAGATTTATTTATGTATTTGAAAGTCTTTAATCATATGCATATCCATTTTTGCATTTCTTATTGGGTATCTCAATCTAATATACACTTTTGAATCATTTTCATCTTCCTGATACCATGCCATGCATTTTAAACATGTCACTTAATCCTTTGAGCAATCTTAGAAATAGATGCTGAATTAATTGTATTAATTATTTAATTATTTTATTTATTTATATGGTGGACTTGAGCTTCTTCAAGAGACTTGGATTCAGTTATTCAAGGTCATATGTCTAATATGTGACAAAGCTGTGATTCATGCCCTGTTCTAACTAAGGTCTAAGTGTTTTAAAACATAAAATTGCTGCTGTATATAATATTTGCTTGATAAGACAGAAATATTACATCAAATCATACATACTGAAACAGCTAGAATAATAAGGTATCACCTTTTAAAATTTTGTTATTATTACTTAGTACATTTGTGAGAGGAGAAAGTAAAATTTCTATTGGCCTGAAAGAAATTGGTCTTTGAAATAAAATGAATTTAGGTAGAGGAATGTCAGTCCCACAAAAAGCCACACTTTGTTCTCATTGGTCAAATTAGTCTGCCCTCTGATCCTTGTGGTTTTTAAATAATTTAGACGCTATTCTTTGTTCAAATGTCTTGTATGAAAAAGAATAGCTCTCCACTAATAAAGCCACATGATGGTGGAGGAATTCTTTAAAATCAAAAGACAAGAAAAGATATATCTTAACTTACCCATCAAAGCAGTGAGCAGCAGTTAGAATCCACTGGTTTCCAATGATGGATCCTCCACATGCATGGTTTTGGCTTGCCAGTTTCACCTGCAGGCTTACCTGCCAGGGCCACTCTCCGCTAGAAGAGTTCATTCCTCCCACGATGCGTGCATTTATTTTTGTTGTGCAAACTAAAAAGAAAGTTTTGAAGTTAATGGTTGGATGTAGAAGTTAAGCATGAAAGAAATACAGAAGAGGAGAAACAAGATGGCAAAATAGGATAAACACAAGTTAAAATGGGTGGAGAATCATTAGCCAGAGTTAAGCAGAGCAGCCTTGATGCCAGGAAATAGAGGACAGGCCAAGAGCAGAGGGATGCCTGGAGACCCATGAACATGAGATAGCAGCAGGAATAGCAGAGTGGTATTGCAGTGACCAGATACTGAAGTAGCAGTCAATAATTGGCAATTGGAGCTCCACCAGTGGTTAAGTGAGAGGAGAAGTTCACCAGAAGCTCAGAAGGTGAACCCAGGCATAGAACTACTTGTGCTACTGATTTGCTTATTTTGACTATGAGTAGAAACAGAGTGGCAAAGGCCAAATAGGTGGGTGCAGGAACAGGATGGATTTCACTGCTCAGACCTCTACCAATGCCATTTTGTGTACTGAAGAAAAGGTTGTGGGGATGGAGGAACAACAGTGAACTGCTTATGTTTTAAGCCAGGAGCAAGCTCCTTTTTTGAAGCTCAAGACATTGCACTGGTCTCACTGGGAAAGCAGTACTGACTTGCCATCCTACGGGTTCCATCCAAAATAGGTCTTGGTGACCTTCAGACCTAATGGTCAGCAGGTTTTGGAAGAGCAGCACTGCTGACAACCCAATGATTTAGGACAACTGGTGACTCCCCGGTCCTGGGCACTGCTTGAAAAGGGAGTGGGAAAGGCTGTACAGGCAATGGTGTGGCCACACATACGATCACAGGGTGTGGAAATTAGTGAGCCAGGACCTGAGGCTACAGAGACCGTGATGGAAGGCTAGAAGGGAAACTTGGTGGTAGTAGCATAGTGACTGAACTAGATACCTATTACAATTGGTAAAATTTGCCTATAAATCAGTGAGCAACACAGCTTAGAAACTGGAGAGAAATCTGCTAACCAGAATAACAATGACCAAGAGCAAAAGAGAAAGAGGCACAATAAATATTACTGATGCTTCCTCCCCCACAAAGGAACAAAAGCCTTTGTCAACCTAAGAGTTAACTGAAGAATACATAGGGGAAATGGGGGATAAAGAGTTTTTTAAAACCTGTTATAGGGCCCAGTACGGTGGCGCAAGTGGTTAAGGTCCTCGCCTTGCACGCCTGGGATCCCATATGGGCGCCGGTTCTAATCCCAGCAGCCCCGCTTCCCTTCCAGCTCCCTGCCTGTGGCCCGGGAAAGCAGTCGAGAACGGCCCAAAGCTTTGGGACCCTGCACCCACGTGGGAGACCCGGAAGAGGCTCCTGGCTTCGGACCGGCATAGTATCGGCCGTTGCGCTCACTTGGGGAGTGAATCATTGGACAGAAGATCTTCCTCTCTGTCTCTCCTCTCTGTATATCCGCCTTTCCAATAAAAAAAAAAATAATAATAATTAAAAAAAAAACTTGTTATAAATCTTTTTAATAAGAACAAGAAGCACATATAGCAGTCGAAGGAATTTGAAGATTATGTTATATAGAAATAGCAAAACTGAGCCAAAGTGAAACTGAACTATTAGAAATGAAGGACACAACAGAACAAATAAAAAATTCAATGGAGGGCCCGGCGTGGTGGCGCAAGTGGTTAAAGGTCCTCGCCTTGCACGCCCGGGATCCCATATGGGCGCCGGTTCTAATCCCAGCAGCCCCGCTTCCCTTCCAGCTCCCTGCCTGTGTCCCGGGAGAGCAGTCGAGGACAGCCCAAGGCTTTGGGAGCCTGCACCCGCGTGGGAGACCCGGAAGAGGCTCCTGGCTTCGGATCGGCATAGTATCGGCCCGTTGCGCTCACTTGGGGAGTGAATCATCGGACGGAAGACCTTCCTCTCTGTCTCTCCTCTCTGTATATCCGCCTTTCCAATGAAAAAATAATAAAAATAAATCTTAAAAAAAAAAATTCAATGGAAGTCCTTAGTAATAGAATGAGTGAGGCAGAAGAAAGAATCTCAGGATTGGAAGACATGTCAGTCAACAATGGGGAAACAATCAAAAGGCTGGAAGAGGAACTGAGCCGAGCTAAGAAAAGTATTCAAGAATTAGGAAACACCATTAAAAGATCAAATATAAGAATTATGGGAGTCCCAGACGGCTCAGAAAGAGCTGAGTTTAAAAATGTATTCAATGAAACAATAAAGGAAAACTTCGCTAATTTGGATAAACAAACAGCATGCAACAGGGTTACAGAACTCCCAACCTCCTAAATAGGGTTGACCAAAGTGATCTTCACCACAACACACGATAATCAAGTTCTCTTCAGATGAACACAAGGAAAAGATCCTTACACACATGAAAAAAATCAATTAACATAAAGAGGAATTCCAGTCAGACTCAATTTCTGACCTCTCAGAGGAAACGCTGAAGGACAGAAGAGAATGGCATGACATATTCCAGATTCTAAAAGGGAAAAATTGTCAGCCCAAAATAACTTACCCAGAAAATCTTTCCTTTGTCTTTGAAAATAAAACACATTCTTCCACAATAAAAGAAAAACTCAAAGAATTCATCTCATCCAGACCTACCCTACAAAAAAATAATTACAGATGTTCTCCTGACGGAGAAGAGGAATAGCACCTACAAAAACCAAAGGCAAACTTGGAGAACATCCCAATAAAACAACAAAATAAGACTAAATCAAACAACAAACCATTGCTAAAATGACAGGACCAAATTACTGCCTATCAGTATTAACCTTGAATGTAAATGGCTTAAACTCATCAGTCATCTGTCATTGCTTGTTGCCTGCATGAGACACATCTCACCAACAAAGATATGTGGAAATAGATAGTCTGGGCTACGAAAGAAAAATGAGCTGGTGTAGCTCTTCTTTTTTTTTTTTTTTAAGATTTATTTTTATTGAAGGTTAGATATACAGAGAGGAGGAGAGCCAGAGAGGAAGATCTTCTGCTCGATGGATCACTCCCCAAGTGACCACAACAGCTGGAGTGCACCCAACTGAAGCCAGGAGACTGGAGGCTCTCCCATGCCTCCCACATGGATACAGGGTCCCAAAGCTTTGGGCCATCCTTGACTGCTTTCCCAGGCCACAAGTAGGAAGCAGGATGGGAATCAAAGCTACCTGGATTAGAAAAGCACCTATATGGGATCCTGGCACTTATAAGGCAAGGGCTTTAGCTACTAGGCTACTCTGCTGGGCCCTGGTGTAGCCATTCTTGTATCAGATAATATAGACCTTGAAGTGAAAAATATTTAAAGAGATGAAGAAGGATACCACATAATGACCAAAAGATCCATTCAGCAAGAACAGATCACCTGACTAGTTTCTATGATGTTTTCTTTTTCATCTCTAATTTTACTTAGATTTTCCCTCTTTGCTAGTGTGGCTAAAAGTTTGTTTTCCTCATCTTCTTAAAAATGTCTCTTTCTTTTTGCAATTTGCAGTTTTTTTAAAAAAAAAAATTCAATTCCATTTATTTTTGCTGTGATTTTAATCATTTCTTGCTTCTTGTTCATTATTTCTTTTCTAGTAAGTCCTTGAGATACATTATTAGATAATTTATTTGAGATATTTCAATTGTTTGTAAGCACCTGATGTGATAAATGTCCTTTTCATTGCTGCTTTTGCTACATGGGGGTTTGATATTTTTGTTTTTATTTTAATTTCTTCAAACAAATTTTTTCCAGTTAATTTCTTCAGTTACATGAAAGTCATACAATAGCACCATTTTCTTCAAGAAGGTTTCTGATTCTCTTTCATTTCTTCAGCAATACATTGGTCATATAGTAACAGGGTATTTAACTCATGTCATTGCATATTTTTCTTCCTGTTGATTTTGTTGTACAGGTTTTCATGTAAGAGTAATAGAGACTATCATATCGAGATGTGAAGACACAATGCAGTATGCATCCCTACTTCCAAATCAAAGATGGACTCCCAATGAAACTGTTGGATATATCTTGACAATGAAATACTGGAGTGTTTGCCATTATCCATACCTACAATGTCAGGATACACTTAAATGACAGAATGATGGATTTATGACTGTTTATGAAGGAGTATATTATTGTAGTAATATAGGTGAAATCATTGGTAGAAGGGGAATTTGGGGAGAGGGGAAGGAAAATCCCAGTGCTTTTGGAACTGTATCATACAGTTAAAAAAAAAGTCAAGTGGAGTTAATTGCACTCTGTAAGACTAGGCCAACTTTCAAAACAGTCCTCTTGCACAATGGCATGAGAGAGTGAGGTTACTTACCAGAACCATTCACAGTTTTGCACAGTCTCAACGAATAACCAGAGTTTGCATGTATTCTACGTGTGATGCTAGCTGGGGAACCATCCAAAGATAATCTCAAGGAACACTTGCACCTGGAAAAAATTGACTGTATAAAATTTAAATTTTCACAGAAGGAATAGAATTGTGCATTGTTAAGGAAATATCCCCTTACTTCTCTTCCTTACAATCTTCTGGGAGTGAAGAGTAAGTGAAAAACTGACAACGAATTGTCTCTGTACAAGTCTCTTGGCAAGCAGTCACTCCTTCAACGAAGGTCACGCCCAGTTCTTCTCCCCCAAAGTCAACTCCAGAGTACATTTGGTAATGGCAGGGTTCTGTGCCAGTTATAAACATACAAAAAGGATGAAGAAAAGAAATAAATCATGGTTATTCAAATTTCTGTTACCTTGAAGACAGGCTCATCACTATTTCTTGTAGGAAAACAATAAAAAATAATATTTGTGCAATATTATTTTTGATTCATTACCAGGAAATGTTTTCTTGCAGGTTACAAGGCTGTGTCCAGACACAGTGTTTTCTTTAGGAGTAGGTATACTTGGTGTACCACTTTCAGAAGTTTTAAGGAAACATGCATTTCTGTTTTTAAAAAAAATAAAACGAGAGAAAGAAAGCTTCATTTCAAGCACTAGGCAAATACCAAAGCAGCTTACAACAGAAAATCAACTATACAAACTTAATTCTTCCACAAAACTCTTCAAAGTAATTTGACTACAAAAATCTAACAAATAAAAGGGATTAACTGTAAATCAAGCCACATCTCCTTCTGGTGAAGATTAATGCGTAGAGATAACCTGAATGGAGGACAATAGTGAAATTGCACTGCCTAATTGGAACTACAACACATTGCTTCTCGGCCTTTAGGCTAAGATCAAGTGTGGAAATACAACACATCAAAGAAATTAAAAAAAAACACAACTATTTCTAGGGATTAATGCTGCTAATGCTCTTATATAATTATATTCCTTTGTTGTAGCCTTGCACTGTATATAAAGAAAGGGGTCGGTTATTTCTGGGTGAAGAGATTGGATGAGAACTTTGATCATTTTCCAGAGTTCTTGCTTCTGAAACAGACAGCTGTTAGAGCTCCCAGGGCTTTAGCAATATATTGCAGTGAGTGGCTCTCACTTCAAGCTAATAGGAAACATTCAAATAATTAAGAAAAGCATCAGATTTTTTTTCTTCGTGGCTGTTGTTTTATTGACTCAATGGCATGTTTGAAAGAGAAGGGAGTGGAAAAGTTTGCTAATCTCCTAACTGATCTGCCAGGATAATACCTACTAACATTGTAGAATCAAATGTTTTGAGGGAAATGAAGAAAATGTTTTCAAACTCCAGCTACAAAAGAACAGCAGACACCACACATTCACACTCACCTTTGTGATTCTATATGCCATTCATTATTGTAGTATGTAAAGAAGAGGCAGTTGGAATGATAGGTGCAAATGGTACGACAGACAAAAGGATTTGGAGCAGTAACTCTGGCAACATTCGTGTCTGAGAATGCAAGGTTCTGGAAAAGGTTCATGTGGCATCCTGTGAATTCAGAGTGATGTTCCTCAGTCAATAAGCAGACACTGTGTAGTTTGTCATCCATTATAAGAAAATTGTAATGATTGATCATATCACTAGAAAAACAATGTCATTTCAAATATTCCCGAACTTCCTTTTTGCTGTATAGGATAAGGCACTATCGCCCAATAATAGACAAATTCCTCAGCCAGGGAAATGGTATTGGTCAATTATCATTCCAGCTCTGCTTCCACCAGAGCGACATATTTCAGTAACTCAACCAATGATCTCATTTTCCTTATTTTTTCTGACCCTTATTTCGACCTTAGAAATACATGGTCTTGTTCTATTTTTGCTGAATATTATGAAAAATAATTTGCTAAAAAGAGATTAGCAAAACACCTGGAAGTTGAATGAGAATTTACCCATTGAAATTAGACTAGGGAAAAAAATTCAGTTTTCTTTTCTATGAAAGCATATGTCTTAATTGTATTTTTTTTGCTGTTGTTGTTCTTGTATCATTTGCTCAGTTTACTCAATTTGACAGTAGAAATTTCATCAAAAGTAGGAAAGCTTAAAGACTGATGACAGTTATGGGAAGTATAAAAAACAATCAATTTCAATCCATGTATTGGGGTCAAGAGAGCATATCTTATAATACATTCATGTGGGCAGTCTAGGAAATTTGAATTCAACTAATTAATCTAAGAAACATAATCTAGAAATAGCTATTTAGCCTAGTCATTGTGGTGCCCATATTCAGTATCAAAGAATCTAGGCTTGATGCCCATTTCTGACTCATGACTTCAGCTTCCTGCTAAGACAGACCCAGAGAGGCAATGGTGAGTGAATAGGCAAAGTTGAGTTTCTAGCCCCCAGTGTCATCCTGGTCTACTCCTGGTTATTGCAGTCATCTGTGGAATGTGTCATTAGATGGGATTCCTCTGTCCCACACATTGCCTCTCAAATAAAAATAAAGGAACTTTTGAAACATAATAGGTTATTAAAATCAGGAAAAAAATATATCTCCCAATCTATAATTGCATCTTCACAAGGATACCCTTGACCAGTTTACTTTTATATTTATAGAGAAAAATAACTTACTATCTCATGATAAGGTCCTTTTTTTTCTAGGTCACTGAAAATACTAGGATTCTTTTTTGTTTGTTTCTTTACACTCATAGCTACTTAAATCTATGCCATGGAAATATACAAATTCATCTAATTTTTAATGGAAATCACAGCTCTGTAAAAACAAAACAAAACCCCAAACTAAAAAGCAAGATATGTCAACAAATGATAGACATTCTGTTTTCCAATGTAAATATTTTTATTTTTTCCCTAAATCATGTCTTATTTTCTATGACACCCAGATATTTTGCCCTCCTACAGTGGGGAGCAGCTGTACCCTCATAAGCTAAATAGTAGGAAATTTCATGGCAATTTTCTGGTGATTCAGTTGAAATGACCTACATCCCATGTCTGAAATTACATGTTTTACCAATTTATCATGATAGAATCATTTCACTAGCTATGGACACATCACAAGATGAAGTTTTCTCCCCAATATCACTATGTTAATTTCCAGTTATTGCTGTACTAGGAGTATAATCAGAATTAGTGACATAAATAAAACAAATTTATTCTTTCACAGTTCTAGACATCAGAAACCTGGAAAAGGCCAGATCATATGTTAGCAGAGGTCTGTTGTGTTGGTAGGTTGTAATGGGTAACATGTTTCCATGTTCCCTTGCTTTGTCCAACTTCTGGAGGCCCCCTAAATTCTATGGATCATGGATCCTCACAGCATCTTCAAGGTCAGCACTCTCACTTCTTCCAATCTCATTGTCTGTGAAACTGACCCTTCTTCCTGCTTCTCTTTTATAAACCTTTCTGTGACTACAGTAGACCCAACCAGATAATACAAAGCAATCTTACCATCTCAAAGTCCTTGACTTAATCACATCTAAGACCTATTTTTTTCAAGTTAGATAACTCAGTCACAGAACCCAGTAATTAGCACATGGACATCTTTGGGGGCTCTTATTCTGACCATTGTAATCACATAGTGAGAAAATAGCCACATAATTACCAATTTCTGAAAGTGCACATGGCTTTAGGGAGAATCCAGACACCACATTATCCAGCAACTTGATACTGTTGGGTGTTCCTGTTGTGCTTTTCTTTAGAAGGCAATTCTTCCTGAAAGTAAAGAGATTACTTTGCTTCCTAAACTTCTGGGTACATGCAGCAGACAGGTAACACTTGGCATTGAAATGATTCATGGGCAGTGGAAAGTAAACGAAGCAAGCAGAACAAAGGTATTGAAAATGTGCAAAGTAAGGGTTTGCATTCTTTGTTTGTTTGTTTGTTTACTTTAAGAGGTTTTATTCCAGCAGGGCAGGAACAGGACTGAGGTGGTGGAAGGGCCACAAGGGGAAGGGGGAGGAAAGAGGTGGAGGCCAGAAGGAGAAGAGACAGACAGAACTGCACCTGGGGGCTAGGGTTTGCATTCTTAAGAAACATCCCAATCTTCCTCCTATCCATTCAGGCAGCACTAGGGTGAGAATGGGGTGGAAGATATTATTTTACAGCGCAGAAATCTCATTCTACAAGCACTGCCTATCTGAAAACCAAATGAAACTTACTCTCTTTAGGAAAAAAAATGATAATTAAGTCATAGAGAATTAAATCCTTAAAGCACCATCATAAATAAAAAATATAAATTTTACTCACCGGTGTTCCTCTTTGTGAAATGCTTTGGTGGCATATGTGAAAAACTGGCAGTGAATATTGTTAGTGCATTTTTTTTGGCATTCTGCAACACTTTTAACCTTAGATACATTAAAATTGCTTCCTCGCATATCAATTCCTTTGTAAGTGGTTTGGTGGCAAGCTGTACAAATGAAAGACAGGGAGACATTTTTGTCAATTTCATTTCTGGAGGTAGATCAACTACCATTTGGGAAGGCTAATTTTGAATAATAGCATTTCATGCCTGGCAACTACTTTACTAACAGGGGATTTGAATTTTTTATGATATCTTAATTTTCAAGCTATACTTGAAATCAATACAACCAAATGTGTTTTTATTTTCCCCCAAGAACACAAGCATTTGAAAGAAATTACTTTGCTTCCTAAAACGCAAGGTGCATGAAGCAATATAGGTAACATTTTGTACTGAAATTGTCATTGGCTGAGAAAATAAACAAGTCAAAAATAGCAAGGACCCTCATACTGTGTGCCAGGGGTTGACATTGTTAAACAAGTTGTTGTGCCTTTGATTTCTTGCACTGAAAGCAGGAGCGTCTTTGTCTCTTTTCCTTACTATTCTACTTCAGCCACTCCTGATTGTGAATTGTGTCGGTAAGCCTTGCCATTGAGAACTCTCAGAACATAGTAGTATGTGGAGACTTCTTGAGTACATACCATGAAACATTTCCATTCTTATATTAAGTTTTACTTATGTATCCTTTTAATCAAAAAGGCTCTTAATTTTTAATTTACTATTCTTAACATTTGGGATGCACTATGATTGGACAGACAGATATTCCATCTTCTGGTTCACACCTCAAATACATGCTGGTCTGCATTAGGATGAAGCCTGGGGCTGGGAACTCCATCCTGGCCTTCCATGTGAGTGGCAGGGAATCAAGTATTTGAGCTATTGTTGTTCTCTTCCAAGATGCAAATAAGAAGCAAGTAGGAATTCAAAGAGGACTTGATTCCAGGTGCTCCAATATGGGAACAGGCATCTGAAGTGACATCCTAGCTTCTGTAGCAAATACCTACTCCTTAACATTTATGTAACATTTATATAAATAACATTTATATAAATAATATAATTGGGCCTGGCACAATAGCTAAGTGACTAAACCCTCTCATTGCAAGTGCTGGCATCTCATTTGGGTGCCTGTTCAGTCCCAGTTGCTTCACTTCCCATCAAGTTACCTGCTCATGGCCTGGGAAAGCAGTCAAGGATGGTCCAAACCCTTGGGACCCTGCATCCATATGGGAGACCTGAAAGAAGTTCCTGGCTCCTAACTCCTGGATTGGCTCAGCTCCAGCCATTATGGCCACTTGGGGAGTGAACCAGTGGATGAAAAATCTTTCTTTCTATCTCCCCTTCTTTCCGTAAATCTGATCTGCCTTTCCAATATAAATAAATAAATCTTTATATATATATATATATACTAACAAAAGTGCAACTACACCTTTTCTCTTAATTTTGCTATCAGATACAATAATTGCAAAAAGTAGTTATTTTAAGAGCTTTTAGAAAATATATTGATCTATAAAACTGGTTTCTAAAATGCAAAATAAAATTTATTTTAGATAAACTATGCTTATTTTGTTGGCTAAGTCAGGACTCTAAGTTTATAATTAAGGCAGTCGCACCTTATGGTAAGTGATGAAAATACAAATTGCCAGGATTTGTATTATGGCATATCAGATTTCTGCTTCTGATCAGATTCCCTACTAATGTGCCTGAAAAAGCAACAGAAGATGGTATACATGCTTGGTCCCCTGCCACCCATGTTGTGGATCATGATGGGGTTCCCGGTTCCTGGATTTTCCTGGCCAAGTCCCAGTTGTTGCAGTGATTCGGGGAGGAACCAGCAGATCTCTCTCTCTCTCTCTCTCTCTCTCTCTCTCTCTCTCTCTTTCACTCTTTGTAAGTCTATCTTTCTAATAAATAAATCTTAAAACACAGACACACAAATGGATTGCAGGGACCTGGTACGTTTTTGTGTGTGTGTTTTAAGGAGGTGCTGGGAAACTATGAGGTTAATATAATAAGGATAACATAGTAATGATGTGCAGGAAAACTTCACTTCTAGCTGAGGACCCCTGATGTACAACAGAATTATGAAGATGAATAGAGTCCCTTCTTTGATATCCAGGAGACTGCCATATGTCTGTGTTTCTTTCTAAAAAGTTCAGGATTCAGACTCTGAGTCAAAGAAGTTCTGAAGCAGATTTATTATTAACTCAAATTTAGCTAGGAAATCCATATCTTACCAGTTATTTGGCCACATTGCTTTAAGGAATGCCCAGAAATTGCGCTTGTCCGATGCACTCTTGGAAGGTTTCCTGTAGCGCTATCTTTCAGGAAGCAACCAAACCTATTTTAAAAAGTAGCTCCACTTAGAAAGTAGAATCATAAACACACATTAAGGAAATATCTAGCATTTTCTGTACACAAATAAACGGAATAAGGAAAAAAGGAAAATAATGCTACTGCTCTGACACTCACCAAAAGACCATTCTTACAGAAATTCCATAAAATGTTATGATCTCTGTACTACCTAATTTCAACATTGTTTTGCTTTATACTCATCTGTGCTTGAGCACAAAAAGCCAATTAAGGGTCGGTGATCCTTCTTATATTCCTGTACTTTGGAGAATTGCTTCCCAACTTATGAGTGTTTATACAAACACTATCATTTATTTTAACAGTGAATTTTTGCATAGTGTTCATCTTGCTTATTAATTTGTTATACTCTGTACTTAATGGAAGATTTGCTTTTGTCTTTGATGTTATTAATAGATTTATTTTGTTTCAAATGTCATTATTTATAAGAATTCTTAAACTTTTAACTCAACTTTTAACATAACTTAAATATAGTCTGATCAGAAAATGATTATCCAGTTTCTAGTTTTTAAACTCAAATTGAGTGACCATACATGTGGAAACAATGAAGTGTCTTTCTGCATATTGATCAAAATAAAAGAAAATTCAGACACTCAATAATTTTCCAAATTACTAGTATATACTACATGTTCATAGGTGAACAACTCACACAGACTCATTCAGAACTGATACATCCCATGACCACAATTTTAGGTCATATTCAGTTGTGTTCATAGCAAAATCTTTGTCTAGATTTGTATTTTCTTAAGATTGTACTACTCACCAATATAACAGGCAACAGACAGTTAAGGGTATTTCCTTATTCAGCTGAAATATTCATCTGTTGTTAGACTCTTTCTTAAGAAGGGTCTCGAGTTTAAGATTTTTAGCCATTTGACTTAAATACTCCCTGAGCATTGCGCATAGAAATTAAGACATTGCGTGTGACACCTGGTATCACATATTGTAACACTTAGATTTGGGTCTCAGTTCTGTTTCCAATCCAGCTTCCTGCTAATGTGCACCTTGAGTGGCAGCAGGAGATGGCTCATGTACTTTGGTCCTTGCTACGTAAGTGGAGCACCAACAGTGAGTTCCAGATTCCTAACGTCAGTCTGGCCCAATGCTGTCCAGTGTGAGGATTTGGGGAGTGAATCAGTAGATGAAAGATGTCTCTCTTTCTGCCTTTCAACGCAAATAACTAAATGACTGTTCTACCATTTTAACATGCATGGGGAATGTCCAAGCAGCAGACCATGTAAGTCCCACAAAACCATTTGGTCTGGACCTGTCCAGGCAGCTTCAGGCAAGGATATTCAATAAATCCAGTGTTTAGGTTGATAATTTAGTGTGGCTCACAAATACTGTTATAAATAACTAAATGGTCCTTGGCAAAGAAAAGGTTTCCCCATTGCTGGGTGAGGATTTGCAAATCAGACAGATTGTGTTCAGTAGTTCTGGCTTGTGACCCAGGAGCCTGACTTTTGGAGAACTGTAAGGGATTCTGATAAGCTCATTCTGGATGCCATCTGAGAACAAACCTGGGATACACTAAACATTTTTGCACACAGCTAACACCATTATGAGAAACTTTTGGCTTCAGCAAACATGAAATGTCAGCTTTTACCATTTCTGTTCATCATTGGTTGAATTTGCTGGGAGAAAACTGAAGAGCAAACACCTGGGGTGGAATGTGCACATCATCCGACAGTGCTCGGCACTTGGGGAGTACATGGACATCACATCCCCTCCTCTGAAGAAGGTGTTTTGATACAGCTGAGTCAGACATCCTAGGATGGAATCATTGGAAAATTATTTTGGAGTGAGTGTAAGTAATTTTAATAGTTTTTTAAGACATTATTTTTTATTGGAAAGACATATTTACAGAGAAAAGATCTCGCTAATCCACTGGTTCACTTCTTGAATGGCCCAAAGCCAGGAGCTTCTTCCAAGTCTTCACTGTGGGTAGAGGATCCCCAGATTTTGAGCCATCCTCCACTGCTTTACCAGGCCTCAAGCAGGGAGGATAAAAGTGGAGAAGCCAGGACATGAACTGGTGCCCTTATGGGATGCTGGTGCGTGGAGGTGGGGATTAGCCAGTTGAATCAGTACACAAGCCCCACATTTTCATTTCTTTCACACAGAGCTTTAAACCACAACTCAAATAAAGAATAAAGCATAACAAGGAAAATATTGTAACACTGTGTGATATTATTCAAAATAATTTTTTAGATGCTTCTATGTGAAATACTTCATTGATTTTCATTTAGTCACACAATAATTTGCATATGAATGGCTCACAACAAAAATAAGCCTTGCATGATTTTCTTACACTGGGTAACATGCTATGAAAATATCATGCCTTAACAATAATGATATTTGACCAGTTTTCAAAACATTTTGGTAACAGAAATCTTCCTGGTATCTTACCTCTTTGTAAAGGAATGTTGATGCAGGCTTTATTCCATGCATCTTGTTTTTTATTTTAAAAGGTATTAAGTAACTACATCTCAGAGCGGGTTGACTTGCATGAAATCTAAACTGTTAGTAAATGTTCTGGGAAATAAACTGAGCCCTTCTGATTTCTATGCGTGAACTGTCTAAGATGCAATGTTAAATATGGTTCCTAATCTCAATTTAAGAAAATGAGCAGTTATTGCACTTTTACTTTTTTTTAAAGTTAATTTGCTAGATGATGTAAGCAAACACATGTGTGCACATGCAAACTGAAAATGAATTTGGAACTATTTGCTGATTGCAATTAATCGCAGCTCCAAAGAACACATATTATTAAAGAATTAAGTGTCTGGTTTTGGTAGGTAATTTAATTTACCACAAAAGACATTATTTCAGAGTCATCTTAATTTGCCTTCTAATTCAAGTAGCACATTTGTTTCGGTTATTCAACTATCCACTAACCATGTAACAAATCTGTTCATCCCTTGGGACAAAAGTGACTCTTTAAGGGACATGTCTTTTTGAATCTCATCCAAGGAATAGGAAACTTAGACAATACGTATTTCATTAAGCACGAAGATAAGCATGTTGTCTGCACCTCTGTTTCTCTAAGGATTTTGACCTCGAGTCCCTTTATGGAAACCTAGATCAGCAAGATTGTTTCTTTCACCCACAGGTGTAGCTAAAATTACTGCCTCTTGAATAACATTTATATTTGGAAAGAGAACAGATCTCTTCAGCTGAAAACTTGTGGGAAAATAAATTGTCAAGGGCATATGCCTAGATTTCATATGTACACAAAACACTGATAATTGGTCCAGTGACAATGCTAGTTATCCAGGACTTTGGTTTTTGGCAGTTCATGTTTCTGTTGTATTCATAATTATCAGGAACCTTGCAGGAGTGTAACAGTGGCATTGGGGTTAGCCTGTGGGTTAGCATTCTGCAATATAGACATTGAATTTCCACATGAGTCAGCCAGTGTGGGGGATAACTACAAAGTACTGCACCTTTATAGCTTAATGAATACAAAGTTATATTAGATATTCTTGCTTTATAAAACAGGGTCATATGGTGATGATGACAGTAATAGCCACAGTTTCATTATTTTCAGAATGTATGTAAAGAACTATTACTTGTAATAACAAAAATAGCTTACATAGCTATCACATGAGCCTCTATGTCCATGGACTTTGGGCAGGTTATTCAATCTTTTTAAAAGTTACACAAGTGATTGAAAAGGATATCAGGGACTGGCATTAAGCCACCACTCTTGTCTCAACATTCTTTCTTAGAGTGCCAGTTCAAGTCCCACCTACTCTGTTTCCAGTTCAACTCCCTGCCCGGTATGCCTGGAAAAGCAACAAATGACCTTAGCACATGACTTCCAGTCATCCACGTGGGAGAACAGGACAGAGTTCTGGCTCCTGAGTTTGACCTGGAAAGACGTAGCTATTATAAGCATTTGTTGACTGAACCAGCAGATGGAATAGTACTGTTTAATTTGTTATTCTGCCTGTGACACTTTGCCTTTCAAATAAATACCTTGTGGTGCACCACATTTAGTCACTACCTATCATGCTGGCAACCCATATGGAAATTGGTTGCAGGCCTGGCTGCTTCCCATCCAATTGCTTGCTAATATGCCAAGAAAAGCAGCAGGAGATGGTTCAAGTGCTTGAGCCCCTACCACCCAAATGGGAGACACTGATGGCATTCCAGGCTCCTGGTGTGTGCTTGGCTGAGACCTAGCTGTGTCAGCATTTTGGGAAGTGAATCAGAAGATGGTAAGATCTCTTCTTTCTCTCTCTCTCTCTTTCTCTCTCTCTCTTTCGTCTCTTCACCCCACCACTCTGTAACTCTGTCTTTCAAATAAACACAAATAAATAAAAATTTTAAAACTCACCCCTAGTGGTGGCTTTGAAAAAACTCCAACCCTACAATGATTAAGAAAAGCAGTGTTCAGAATCTTTCTTATTCTCTGAAAATTAGTGAGGTCTATTGAAAGAAGATGAAACCCTGATTGCAAATGATTCATGTGGAGTTACTCAAACGGATGGTTCACTAAGTTAAATTTCAACCCAATGCTTTGATTTATGCAATAGTCCCCTAGGGGAGAGAGTAAAAATCTCATGACATGCACTTATCAGATACTTGGATTAAATTGTGATACCGTCAAATGCCTGAAACTCTTAAGAATTTTCAGTCAAAGTTTGCTCTTCAGAATTGATAATAGAGAGAAAGTTGATTGTTTTGAGAACATTTTGTAGAAAGTCAGGTCCAAAGACACATTTCTATTTTCACATGTCCCGAGACTTCGTCACTCATGGCTCCTGTCCCACTCAGCCATGTGTTTCTTGTTTGATATTTCTGGGAACTTGTCCTTGCCTCCCAGTATTGAACAGATACTTATCCTGAAAATCAGGATCTGCCTCCTTCCCTGAAGTCTTCTCCAGGGGTGGCACATCTGGCTTAACCTCCCCTGTATCTCACCTACCTTTAAACATATGCCTTATAAATGCTTCACTTACCACAGGAAACTGTAGTAAACAGACAAATGAAATAAGCTGCTTGCCTGAATGAAATCATCCTAAAAAGAGAAAAAAACGCAATTGTAATTTTTACTGATTTTAGATCATCTTTAAAACATATTTGAAATAAGTCTTAATTTAAGATGATACAGATTTTCTAGTAGATTTCTGAATTACAAATAAGGGCATACAATTATTACTGTAATGAAAAAGGAGTTTGGTATAATTTTTTATGCCTAGGGATTTGGAAAATATATTTCCAAGATACAAGTTGAAACCACTACACTACTGTATGGTTATTGTTTATTTGCCATTCTGTTGCTATTATATTGAAGGGGGAGTTGGGAGGTAGGAATTAAATAACCATGAACATTCTTCATCTGAGAAAAAGGAAATTATTATAAATAATGACAATAATACCAGTTCATAATCCCATAGACCTTTGAAAATATCCAAGCCCACTTAAAAATTTTTAAGCAATCATAATCTTTGATTAAAAAATGTCTTATGTTTACAAAAATGCCAATTCCTTCTAGACTTTCTAAACGTTTAGGAAACTAGAGTACAGGCTAATAGTTTCTTTGTCAAGTAAAAATTTTATTTTAAAAACCCCACTTTATTTGGAGATCAGAATAATAGAAATTTGCTACCTGCAAGCACAATTGCTTCTGTGGTTCTCGAAGTGAGGGAGTCTCCTACAACTTAAAAATGAACGGTCTCCAAGCTGTCTTAACGGTATTATCACAGGCAATATTTATTTGTCTCCAGTATTGACTTTGGGTTTCCACCAACAGCTTCAACTTTCTGCACTGTCAACATAGTCCATGAACATCCTAATCCCAGGTTCCACTGTTTGATACATTAACTATTTCATGGAGTGATGATATCAGTAAGGCAGTAGGAGCAGAGCTTTCAGCATTCATCCTCTTGCTAAACTTTTAATTATCATAAAAGCTAAGAAATTCAGGTGAGACTATATAGCACTTGTTTAGAGCACAACAAGTACAAAAGGATGCCTTAAAGGGTATAGAAAGAACTTGTAGACATATGACGCTGATCCTGGGTCTGGAAAACACACTCTACAAAGGGGAAGGAGATGACACGAGCATCCAGTTTCACCAGAGATCCAAGCACAAAGCTTATCTTTGCAGACCCCAGCACCAGGCCAGATTCAGCCTCCAGGGCCACAGTAGTGCTGGTCCAGACTCAAGACTTCCAGACTCAGGTCTACTCCAGATTAGATTTGCCTCTGGGGCTTCAGGCTGCAGATTCCAAAGTGGTCTTCACAAAGCCAGAATTTAGTCCTGCCCCAGCCCAAAGATGCTTCCTTATAACTCATCTCTAGGGTGCACATGAAGACTCAGCTCTTCAAGACTTCCACAGGACCAGGTCAGTTTCCATGAATCTTTGTTCTAGCCAACCCCCTTTAGGCCCAATTGCCAAATCCACTACAACAGATACCTGCATGGCACAGCTTCATGGTTTCAGAAAAAAACCTCCTTTCTGTACATCCAGGAACCAAGCAACTCCAGTGTAAGGTTGATCTCTGCACTCAAGTTCAAAATCTATCTTGTCACCAAGTCATCCCCCCAAAAAACTCAGGTTTTAATCCTTACACACAAGTTTCAGGGAGTCTCACTGATCCAGCCCACTTTAATGCACCTTGGTACCAGGCTAACACATCCAGACTCATCCTTGAAGATCCAGGCGTCTCCAGACATCGTCAGGCCAGCCCCCTGTGAACTTAGGTGTGCTTATCCACTGGCCTTGTGGAACTGTACTGACATGGCTGAGGGCTCCAGCAGCAGGGTTTTCCCATGAGCGTCACCTGATGGCCTGCTGGATATCTCTTAATGGATGGAATGGTGAATAACTTTCCCTGCTGGAGACAGTCTTAAAAAAAAATATGCCCACATCTTCAAACCCACAGACAAACCTGAGCCTACAAGAACCACACATTATCAGGAGAATATGATAGCACTGAAGGAACAGAATAAAGCACCAACCAGTAACTGGCATTAAAAATAAATGATCTTTGTGCCTGGTGTGATGGCCTAGCAGCTAAATCCTCGCTTTGCATGTGCTGTGATCCCAGATTGTGTCCCAAGTGTTCCACATCCCATCCAGCTCCCTGCTTGTGGCCTCGGAAAGCAATGGAGGATGGCCCAAAACCTTGGAATTCTCACCCATGTGGGGGACCTTGAGGAGTCTCCTGACTCCTTCCTTCGGATTGGCTCAGCTCTGGCCATTGCAGCCACTTGGGCAGTGAAATCAGCAGATGGAAGATGTTTCTCTCTGTCTCTCCTTCTCTCTGTAAATATGATTTTCCAATATAACCAATAAATAAGCTTTATGGGAACAGCATGTGGCATAACAGGGTAAGTATATACCAATGGTGTCATCTCATATGGATGCCGGTTCTCGTCCCCACTGTTCTACTTTTGGTCCAGCTCTTTGTCTATGGCCTCGAAAACAGTGGAGTGTGACTCAAGTTCTTGAGCCCCTGCATTCATGTGGGAATCTCAGAGGAAGCTCCTGACTCCCAGCTTTGGACCAGCCCAGGCCTGGCTCTGGCAGCCATTTGGGGGATGAAACAATAAATGGAAGATTTGTCTTTCTCTCTCTCTCTCACTCACTCTTCTCTCATTCTCTTTCCTCTCTCTTTCTCTCTCTCATGCGCTCTCTCTGCACTTCTGACTTTCAAGTAAAATAAAGAAACATTATGGTTTTTCAGGCAGCCAGGTTTCTGCTCAAGAAGCTCTATTTTCTTTTTATTTCTAAGTAAGTCTCCTTATAAACTGAAATATGCTGCCTTACAGCTTTTGTCGTTCAGTCCTGGATATACCTACTATACCCACACAGAATACTTTATTTCTCCTTTTGTGCCTTTTAAAATAATTAAAGACCTTAATCACTTGCCCAGCAAATCTTGTTTTTTTTTTTACTCAAATATACGCTACATCATTCTAACGAGTAAATTAGATTTTGTGCTAGTTGATTCATAAATAAATATTTTATGTAAATTGAATTCAGAACAGCATTTGTTAGAAATGTAGAATAATGTTGCCAATAAAATATTTTTCTGGCTGTAATGAAGTAGCATCTATAAATATGCATGTAGCTATGACTTTTGTATTCAGGATATTAACTGGTATACAAGCAATCAACAAAAGAGAAACCCAGCCACCCACCCGTCCCCACTTTACACTGGAGTAGAACATTTTAATTTTGGATCCCATCTGTTTCAGGATCAACAGTTAAAAAAACAAAGTTGGGATGAAAGAACAAATCACAACAGAAACCCCAAAAGGCTGTTGCTCTAGATTATAAATTTTACCAACTTAAGTATTCTGCTTAGTTTGAAATTTTTTTTACACTGAAACATAAGCTATTTTCTAGTGAAACAATAAATTAAAATGTCTGTAGGGCTTCAGAGGAAGCAGATCAGAATTAAATTGAAAAGATGCAAGTGGTAGATAGAATTCTAAATTTTGCCCCAAATTTCCTAATCCTGGAAACTGAATACAGTAAGTAATCAGGTCTGTTATGATTATATTACATGACAAAAAACAATTTGAGGATGTGATTACTGTTGCTAAACAGCTGACTCTGAGATCACAGTGAAGCTGCTGAGTGGGCCTGTGGCTACCCCATGAGCCCCCTGAAAGCAAGATTTCCCCCGCCCCCCGCAATCAGCTGTCAGTAGAAACGGAAGCCAAAGGGTCTTGAGTGAAGGGAAGCTCCCTGGTGAGATGGAGAAGGCCATGAGAAAGCATATGAGAGGAACTTTGACCCAGAAAAAAAAAAAAGGTTTAAGTCCCATTTGAAACTATGAATCTTTTATACAGCAAAGAAAGTGATCAACAAAGCAAAGGAACGATCAATAGAATTGGAGAAAATCTTTGCACACTATACAACAGTTAGGGGACCAATATCCAGGACATACAAACAGCTTCAGAAACTCAACAACAGCAAAACAGACAACCCTCTGAAGAAATGGGCAAAGGAAATGAGCATTTGTTTTCAGAACAAATTCAAATAGCTAAAAGACATATAAAAAATGCTCAGATTTCCTAGCTATCAGGGAAATATAAATAAATACCACATCTACTAACAACATCTACTGGTGAAGATGTGGGTAAAAAGAGACCTTAGTCCACCGTTGGTGGGTATGTAAACTAGTGCAGCCATTTTGGGAGTCAGTTTGAAGAGTGCTAAGACAACTGAAAATGGATGTACTTTATGACCCCGCTATCCTACTCCCAGGATTATATCCAAGTGAGACGAAATCTACATGAGAGAGCAACTTGCATCTCTATAGTAGCACAATCCACAATAATAAAGACACTAAACAACCCAGATGCCTGTTGAAACAGGAATGGATAAAGAAGCCATAGTACATCTATTATATGGCATACTATTCAGCCCTTAAAAGAATGAAATTTTACCGTTTGCAACAAAATGGTCTCAACTGGCGACCATTATGGTAAGTGAAATAAGACAGTCATCCCCCCCACACACCAAAAAATGTCTTATGTTCTCTCTGAAATAAGGCAACCTTCATGGAGAATATAAAACAAATTGATATATAAGCCAAACAGGCTTATACATATATTTTTATAAATGAATTGTGTAATGGAGACTAGCATATCAGGAAGTGAAGATAAGTTGCAATATTCATCTGTACTCATGAATAAAAGGACTCCAATGAAACAGCTAAATATACCTTAGCAATATAATACTAGATTTTCTACTACTGCCTATATCTACAATGCCATGATACACTTAGAGCGTAGCACGTTGGAATTGTGACTGTTGCTGAAGGACTATATTATCATAATAATATGGGGGTAATGGTGGAGAGAGGGTGGGGAGGGAGAAAAGAGTGGGAAAGAGGGGACTCCCCATACCTACAACACTGTATCACAGAAAATAATAATAATAATTTTTTAAAAAAGGATTCAGTCCCATAACCACAAAAACAGACCACTAATCATTTCCAGGAAGTCAGTGAGCTTGGAAGATAATTTTTGCTCTTTCTGCCTCTTCTTGAGCACTCTTGTCCCAGATGGTGCACAGAACCCACTTCAGCCAGATCTCTGCTCAAATAGCATCTTCTCTGGGGTTCCTGGCTCCCAGTTTAGACCTAGAATAACTGTGATTTTTAAGGACATTTGGGGAGTGACACAGTGGGTGAAAGACATCTTTCTCTGTCTCTTCCCTCTCTTCACACTTTTTAAAAAAATTTTGTTTGTTTTTATTGGAAAGAGAGATATACAGAGAGGAGGAGAGACAGAGAGGAAGATCTTGTGTCCATGGATTCACTCCCCAAATGGCCACAACAGCCGGAGCTGAGTCAATCTGATGCCAGGAGCCAGGAGCTTCCTCTGGCTCTCCCACACAGGTGTAGGGTCCCAAGGTTTTGGGCCATCCTTGACTACTTTCCCAGGCCACAAGCAGGGAGCTGGATGGGAAGCAGGGCTGCTGGGACATACACCGGTGCCCATATGGAATCAGCGCATCCAAGGTGAGAACTTTAGCCACCTGGGCCCATTCTTCTTTCTTTCTCTCAAATAAATAAAATAAATGATTTAAAAAAATGATTTGCTATAGTAATATGCTAGATCAGGGATCTTTTTAGTTGGCAAATTAAAATAGCATATATTTATGATATATAGCATGATATACCAAGATTGATAAATAGATATGCCTCGCAAAATAATTAAATGAGCTGGGGTCCAGCACGGAAGCATAGCTGTTTAAATCCTCACCTTGCACGTGCAGGGATCCCATATGCATGCTGGTTCTGTTCCCAGCTGCCCCACTGACTATCAGGTTCCCTGCTCGTTGCCTGGGAAAGCAGTCGAGTACGGCCCAAAGCCTTGGAACCCTGTACTGGCATGGGAGATCCAGAGGAGGCTCCTGGATTTAGATCAGCTCAGCTCTGGCCACTGCAGCCACTTGGGAAGTCAATCAGCGTATGGAAGATCTTTCTCTTTGTCTCTCCTCCTCTCTTTCTTTCCTCCTCTCTACCTGAATTTCCAATAAAAATAAAATAAATCTTTTTTTAAAAAAATTTAAAAATATTAATTAAATGAGCTGATGAGTTCAATATCTAGCACCTTACATACTTGTCATTGGTCTGGTAAGAAAATTTAAATTTAGTGCCTTTGCAATTGTTAAGCATACATGACCGTTAACAACAGTTCCCGTGTTGTGTAGTAGAACTTTAGAACTTCTTCTTCTTTTTTTAATACATAAATTCTTTATTAATCACATTGCATTATGTGACACGGTTTCATAAGCTCTGCGAATCCCCCTACCCCTCCCCGCACCCTTCCCCCATGGTGGATTCCTCCACCTTGTTGCAGTATTACAGTTATTCAGTCAAGAGTCTTTCATTTCAAGAGCATACCCAGCATAGAGTCCAGCATCTTATTGTCCAGGTAAATTCAACAGTTTCTTGGGGAGAACATCCCTGGTTTGAAGGCAGAGCTGGCAGAATATCACCCCGATCAATTTAAAGCCACAGTATAACATCAACGACAATTTACAACATTATGGAATTAATTGACATGGCATTGAGTAACCAATATGTTAAAAAATGCAAGTTCTTAACCACATCCTATGACTACTTCATTGATGTTTCAATTTTAGTTTATACACAGAACCAGCTGCTATACACCTTAAAATGGCTATAGGGTACTATTCAGCTGTCTCATGTCTATTTTAATTTTAGTATTTGTCAGTTTATAGTGTTGAAGCCATAATTTTGCTGAACTTGGCAGATTTTAGTCTAAACTGGGTTATAACTTTAACAAAGCGTATGTCAGCAATTGAGGTGCAGAACAGTTTTAGGAGGGGTGTGCGGAGAAATCTTCAATACCCTAGTGAGGAGTAATTAATCTTTGTGTCCCACCTAGTAAGGTATGTGTGAGTCCATGCTGACCATTTCCTGTCTGATAGAACCTTCTTAATGGAAGTTTTATACCCTTTGACTAGCATCTCCCCATTTTCCTGATTTGGTCCAAGGAGACAGGCCTGGGGATTGAATCTGTGGGACCAACTTGAGCTGAGAGTGGCTTTGGAGGCTGGGTCTGTGGAAAAGGGCCTCAGTGCTGGGACAGCAGATTTGCTGAATGTCCTTTAGTGGGAGTAGATATCCTTATGAGGCTCTCATCAACTGTCCCAATATGAGAGACTGCAAACTTTCACTTTCAAAAACAATGTGGTCTTGAGTAGTAACTAATCAATATTGCTTATATCATCAAGAATTATTGATAGTAACACGAAACAACACGGAAGTGTGAAAAGAATGACAATGTGACCATGTGAAAAAACTAGCTGTGTAGGAATATTTTGAAGTTTGTTTTTTTTTTAAAGATTTATTTATTTATTGGAAAGTCAGATATACAGAGAGGAGGAGAGACTGAGAGGAAGATCTTCCGTCCGATGATTCACTCCCCAAATGAGCACAACGGCCGATGCTATGCCGATCCAAAGCCAGGATCCAGGAACCTCTTCCGGGTTTCCCACAGGGGCGCAGGGTCCCAAAGCTCTGGGCCGTCCTCGACTGCCTTCCCAGGCCACAAGCAGGGAGCTGGATGGGAAGTGGAGCTGCCAGGATTAGAACTGACGCCCATATGGGATCCCGGCGAGTTCAAGGCAAGGACTTTAGCCGCTAGGCCACGCTACCGGGCCCTGAAGTTTTAATTTACTGTTTTTCCCTAAGTACAAAACTTCAGGCTCAGATTAACTTGAGTAAGAAAGGAAGAAAAATCTTTATGTAAAGTATAGTTTTTAAGGAAAGCTAGTTTCATCTGGGCACTCCTATGCACGTAAGTATTATCAGTTAAAGGTCTATTTTATTCCAGTGATTGATCTATGTGATCACTTAGGCCACCATACACGGACAAGAGAAGGAGAGCTTTCTTTCCTAGTTTCTTCCTCCATGGGCAGTGTTGTTGATTGGCATCTTCTTTACCTAGAGGCACTCTTCATGGTGTCTGTGAGACTGTGCTTACACCTGCAGGCCTCAGCCTTGTCAGCCGAGAGCTGGCTTGCTCTGCCTGCCCTCAGCTTGTCAAAGTGTTGTACGAAAATCCTCTTCTTTCTGTAAGCACAGACTTTGAACCTAGGAGTGAACAGTTACAGTCTTGCAGATGACCAGACCATTTTTGGTCAGCTTCCACATCTGCTGACTGGAGTTGTCAGTGGCAATTCCATTGGCCTTACTGTAGTGGAGCCAGAATTTGTGTTGATCACAGCAGCCTTTTTGAAGTGTGACTATGGATCCATTAGTAAAAGAAGGGCTTATATATTCCTCGTTGGTTGTTAATCTTTATTTGATTTACTTGTGAGACAGACCAAGCAGCAGAGACTCAGAAAATTAATGAGAGAATTCACATTCATAGATCCATTTTTCCAATTCCTGAAATGCCTGGGGTGGGTTGCAGTTGGAGCTACAAGGATCCAGAATTGTAATTCAGGTCTTCCAAATGGTGGTAGATGCTGAGGTGGCACTGCCTCTCAGCATCTGCATTAGCAGAAAGCTGAAGCAAACATAGGTACAAATCCATGTATCCTGATAAGAGATGCTTGTGTCTTAACCACAAAGGTAAATGCCTACTCTTAAGCCAACATATTCACTACATTCAGGTTACACATATTGTTAAATACTTGTAGTATTAGAAGGTAAAGTTAAAACCTCCAAGAACTAAGACAATCATACTGAAATATCATAGCTTTTCTTCCCAATAGGAACTGTAGTGACCATGTGCCAGTTGTCAAAGAGTATGTCATCATAGAATTCAGAAAAGATGGAAATCATTAAAAGTAAACACCAGCAAAAAGAAAGTACTGGAAAGGAGAGGATGAATGAATGATAGGAAGAATAAACAAAGTGTCAGAATGTGACTCTTAGTATCAAAAGGTCAGGCATAGGAAGAGCTAAAAACATTGTGAGCTGAGTCAGTTGGTCCAGACACTGACATTCCTCAGCTGCCTGGGACAGTTAGTAGAGCCCCAGTTCCACAGTGTCGTCTCAGGTGTTTCTGGCCTCTACATTTGGGGCCCAATGATACTGTGGATTTGCTTATTCCCAGACAGCCTTTTTACTTCCCACTGTTAGTGAAATAATTGCTCTGGTGTTTATACTTCTTCTCCTGTTTATTCTTCAGATCAGAGAAATTCACAATCAGACAATTTCCCGGTCACTCTCTGGAAATAGCATCCACCCAAATGTGCTATTTCTTTTATCACCCAATTTGAATCAGCTGACCACAGATTCATCTTTAAAAGTCAAAACAATATAAACTCTTAGAATAAAACAGCAATCATGTCTAAATTGTACGTTGTTTTTCTTGAGCTACCTCTTCCAAGCAGGAGTAAGGCAGGTAATATGGAAACAGATATTTGATCATCCATTTAATAAAAAAAATTAGCATTCATGCTTTTAATATTTATTTATTTAAAAGTGTGTGTGTGTGTGTGTGTGTGTGCGCACGCGTGCATGCTTGAGAGAGAAGAAAGGAAGGGGCTGGAGATAGAGATTCCTTCCATTCTCTGATCATTCACCCAGATGACCACAATAACCATAGCTGGGGCAGGCTGAGGACAGGAGCCAGGAACTTCATCCTCATCTCCCACATGTGTGGCAGAAGCCCAAGCACTGCGGCCGTCTTCCACTGCTTTCCCGGGTGCATTAGCGGGGAGTTATCATAGTTTGATATGCAGAATATAGTATATTTTCTCTGTTCCAATTCCGATATGCTTTAAATAAATTACCACTTCAGGTATAAGTAACATATTAGTTTAGGCTGAAGACAAGGTCATATACAGGTAGGCAACAATAAGCAATGGTTTACATCAAATGTAATGTCTTCTGTAGGTTCACCACAAATTTTGGGGGCAAAGGGCTAAATGTAAATGGATAAAACTAAGAGACAAACACAGTACTGACCATGATTAAAACTTTAATAACATAAAATCATCCACGAGGGAGATCTACATTTATGCATTTTCTAGATGACATCATTTATGCATTTTCCAGAAAGCATCTTCTCTAATTGAATCTCCTACTTTGATTTCTGATCAGCAGGCACCGGGGATCTTTGGAAGAGCTGCTGATTTTCCCTGCCTGTTCCAGGAAAGTGCTTACCAGTTAGTCATGGTTTTATAGTCTCTTCCATTGGTATCTACTGAAGAACAGATATTCTACCTAGAAATGTGCTGTTTCTATCTGTTATTTTCTTGGAGAAATATAAGAAAATCTTACTAAATTATAAATCTTCAAAAACCGGTGAAGAAGTAAAGATAATGTTAGTAGAATGGAAATTCAGGAAATGTATGCTAGTTATCAGCTTTCGAGTCAATGTTTGTGAGGACTGAATTTTTTCTTTTAATTTTCGGTGAGGAATGAGTTAACTGGAATCTAAACCTACACTAAATGAGATGCTTCTAGGTTATTAAATATAGATGAACAGCTTCTTTTCTTTTCTTTTTTTGCTTTATAGAGTGAAGAATTTCAGATAAATATGACTAGGCCAGAAGTGGAAGTCTTGTGTTATAATAGCACCGGTCAAAGATCTGACTTTCGAAAAGCACCAGTGTAGTGGGGAAGAAAGTGTGTCAAAAAAGGAGTGGAGGTGTTCAGAGGACAGATCTCTGGTTCCAAACTTGTCTCAACGAGTCGCATGACTCCAGATGGAAACTTGCCTTCCTGTTGATTTTATTCCCTCCTCATGTAAAGGAGAGTAAGTCAGATATATCCTCAGGTGAATCCAGCTGCAGAAATCATCAGCCCACCCTGTAAGGTGTGATGAAGTTAGAGATGACCCAAAATAATCTCTTCCAATAATGCATATTATATTTCAAGGCAAATGTGATTCTATGAAGAATAAAATGAAGGCCATGTGGGTACAGTCAAAGGGGAAACTGATGCTAAACTTACAAGTCTCTTACAAATAATCTGCTCTAAGTGCAAAATATGAAAAGTACTATAATACTTACCATAACTTATGTCACTGACATAATTCAAATAATGTAAACCCCTAAGTCAAAGTACTTACTTACTCATCATTTCAACTTATATTACACATATATGCATGTGTATAGTATATGTGTGTGAACAATGATTTTTTTAAACATTCTGAAACTTCAATTAGATACTGTCTTTGGATCTACTAGTTGATATGGAATTAGTCTGTGAATCCCTCTGATGAGGAATGTATATATGTTTCTTTGGGCGCTGATTTGATAGCTCTACTCTTGGGAACAAGATCAAGTGCAACATTTATGAGGGTGATAGAAATATGAAAATTATCTCTTTGGCGGACCTGACCCCAAGATCAGTAGCAACAAGAAAACTCAGGTACCAGGATTCAGAGTACAGAACTTCCATTGTAAAAATTGTACATGCTAAGTTTCTGTTTTAGAAAGATCTCTCCACGGTAAAGGTGCAGTGCAATGATTCGGTTAAGCTTTATCTGTATTTCTTTTCTTCAACTTGATCCAGATGCCATTAGTTGGACGAAGAATCAACTCTCCTGCTAGACCAAGTTCTTCTCTTTTCTGGGTGGATTCTACCCACAGCTTCCTCAGGATGCAGGAAAGAATAGCCTTTTCTTCCATAATGGCAAACTTTTGACCTTCAAATTAACATAAACCATTATATTAGTTGCAGATATTCTAGAACTATACATGAAGTAATAGACCTCATCAGTGATTTTATGTTTCCAGTAATCCAGGAGAATCAAAATCACTTGGAGTAAGAAATGAAAGTTCTGAGAACACTTTCCTGCTCCAAACTGATGTATCTGAGAAGCTGAGATTAATCACAGATTCTGCAATTCAGCATTACTTTAGCAGCACCCTGGGCTCTGTAAAGCTTGGACTCACTACTCCAAATTGTTTCTCTGTTGAGTCTTTATTTTGCTAGACAGTCACCAGCCACACTTCAGAATCACTCATTTAAACCTGGCCTCCCCCCCCCCAAATTCCTGCATTTATATAAAGAAATGATAGAATGCTAGACATAGTAAAACCAAGTGTTATACTTGGGAGGCACTCATGTTTCTTAGGTTCTTCAGCTGATCATAAGATAGGCATTCTTTATTTTTCTTTGCAAAATGCAATTCTTGAAACTAGTAAACACAGAAATTATATTAAACATAACTAAACATGTATAGCACTTGCATTGTGGCACAGCTGATTAAGATGCTGCCTTCTATGCCAACATCCCATATTGGTGCTCTTTCAAGATCTGGCTTCTTCACTTCTGATCCAGCTCCCTACTAATATGCCTTGATGATGCCACAAGCTCTCTGTGCCCTTGTCATCTATAGAGGAGACCTAGACTGAGCTCTAGCTGTTGCAGGCTTTGGGGAGTGAACCAGTGGATGGAATATCTTGAGCTTTCTCTCTATGACCCTCTGTCTCTGTCTTTCAAATAAATACATCTTTAAAAAATAAGTAATCATATAAATGAATTGTTTACTAAAATAAATAATACTTTTATTCAAAAGACACAATATTTCTAGACTGCATTATGAAATGCATTGTGTGTTGTATTATCGATTGGTTTATATCCCCCACAAAATTCATTTCTCCAAGTCTTGACCCCCAGTATTTCAGACTGAGACTATAGTTGGAGATGACATCTTTTAAAAGGTAATGAAGGCTAACTGATGTATCTTGATTGGGTTAAGGTTAAATGAAGTCATTAGAGTTAAGTGAGGTGGGTCCTAATACAATCTTTCCTGAGAAGCTACAGTACAGGCACATGCAAAGTGAAGACCAAGTAAAGACATAGCAGATGACAGCCATCACCAGGCCAAGGAGTGGGGTCCATGGTGGGTTTTCAACCTCTTGAAATGTGAGAAAATTTATTTCTGTCTTTTAACCCACCTAGTCTGTGCTACTTTGTTATGGCAATTCTAGCAAACTAAGACACATTCAGTAGCAGCAAGTACAATGTCATAAATGGAAGGGAAAGAAAGCCAGTGTTGAAAACTGTTGCACAAAGGAAATGTCACACCATGTCTTAAAGCAATGAGTGTGAGAAATCTCCTCTCCCATTGGCCCAGGAGAGCTGGTCAGGTTGGAAGGATACAAACCTATGCAGTTTCTGGGTCCAGCAGAGAAGGGCACATATGCGTAGGGATGGCGTCCCTGTGCATTCTCAGGAAAGAACCGCTCTGGCTGGAATTCCTCAGGATTGGGGAAGTATTTTGGATCTCTGTGCAATGCATAGGGAACGATGACTGCTTGCGTGCCTTGTGTCACGTTGAATCCCGCTGTCAAGAAGTGGTCAATATGGCTGAGTTTGGAGCAAGACAGGTAATGTAGATGAATCCACTCTCCTTGCCATGCCCACTACAGAATACTTACCCACTACACAATCTTCACTAAGGCTACGGGCAAACATAGGAACAGAAGGAAACAGGCGCAGTGTCTCCTTAATAACACATTCCAGATATTTAAGATTCTTCAAGTCTTCTAAGGTAGCAGGACGATCAGATTTCCCTGATTAAAGCAAATGTATAAGATAACAGTGAAAGAACGACCTGGGCTGGGAAGAAGGAAGCATCAAAGAAGACGTGAATCAAAAGACTGAGCTGTCAACCCAGTCCCACAGCAGAACTCCTAATATGATACATAATTACAATAAAAATAAAACAAAATGTTGAGTATAAAGAAATCAAACAGAAAAGGTCACTCATGATTCCATTTCTAAGAAGTGCTCAGTAAATAGAGACAGCAAGTATGTAAGTGAGTTCTGGAGCATAAAGGAAACAGAGGCATGATTGTGTAATGGTATAGCAGTTTCTTTTGAGGTAAAAATAGTTTGGAATCAGCCTGAGGTGGGATTACACAACTGTGTAAGAATACTAAATATGACTGCACGGTGGGTACTTGGCCTAGCAGGTAAGATGCCAGTTACGTTGTCCTCATCCCATAACAGGGTGCCAGAAGTTGATACCTGGCTTACTTCCTGCTTCCAGCTCCCAGTGGTGTAGGCCCTGGGAGGCAGTAGTGAGAGCTTTCTAGCCTCCTGGCTTCAGCCCTGGTTCAGCCACTGCTACTGCAGGCATTTGGAGTGTGAGCCGATACATCAAGAATATACACTCTCTCTCTTTCTCTCAAATAAATAAAGAGGTTTAAATAAAATAGCAAGAGGAACTGTTATTTGTAACTTGGCTCCAAAAGATTATTTGCTCGAAATTTTGAGAGCTAATATTGGAATAAAAAACATGAGGTGTGGCAAGCAGAAAACCTGAGAAAGAGCAGAACAAAGTTTTCAGGCATTATTGTTGTGTTGCTAATTATGTGAGACAAAAAAAATCCCTTTGGAAACTAAGGAATGAATTAGAAATAACAGGGAGTACCAAAAATGTGAATGTGTTCCAGATGAACTGTAAGCTTCCACAAGACCAAATTTAACCTCCCCAGGTAATCTGAGCGATGTTACACACCCTCTGTGAACAGAAGCAAAAGCATAGACCATTTCCATTCTACCAAACAAAACCCTACCTCTAGAAATGAAATCCTAGGTTCTGTACACTCTGAATACAAAACTGCTTTTCCACCCTCATTTCTCAGCAGGCCTCATTTTCCCGAATGCCCTGAATTCCAGCTGTCCCTCACACAGCTTCATGACGCTCCACATCACAAGCTTCCCATTCTGTGCAGCTGTGCATCCAGTTCCTGTTTCTGACATGCGTTTCTTCTCCAACTTTTTATTCTTCATTTTTCCTTCTTTGCTATTTTTTTTTTAGTATACAAAACTGCATCAGATGTTACACTAATGTCTGGAAGACCCAAAAGTGTTCCCTTCACACCTTCCAGCAATTGGGAGCCACAGGACATGTGATTTTTAAAAAGAATTTAAAAAAATGATAGTAGGCCCTTGGTCATAGGCAGAATAATTGGCCCTCCTAAGATATCAGGTCCAAACCCTTGAACTGTGTAAATGATATAAATAGTCTTTACTTGGGTTAAACAGCAGAGGAGGAGTAGGGGAGTTCTTGCAGATTTGATCAAATCAGGTGTCTTAAAATGAGATGATGATAGTATCAAGAACTATGAGAGAATAGTTGCCTGTGTTTTTAAGTCTCCCAATTTGCAAAATTTGTTACCGCAGCTGCAAGAAACTAATACACATCCATCCTTCATACACGTGACCCCTTCTTGCTTGGAACATGTACATTTCGCCTGAAGCAATAATCAAGAAGGAAAACTTTAAGGATGATATAAACAGCAGACAGAAAGAAGAGCAATTTTGAGACCCTGGGCTAGCCCTCTGTGACAGTCTCATATTCTTACCCTTTACTAATTGCACTAATTGCAGAAATTTGTTTCCTACCAGTTTCACACAACTTTGGAATCAGACAGTTGTGTGTGAAGCAACATTCCTATATCCCTCTAAACAACTTCACCTGATCCATCTGCTCCCGAATAGCACCCTTTTCAGCCACTCACACCATCCGTGACTCCATGACTGCAAGTGAATAGATGAGGATTTGCAAAGGAGACCGGACCTGGAAGGTGTCCTGCAGGAAAGCTTTCCTGCTTGTGAGCCTTTGAAACAGGCTCACCAGAACAACCTGAAGGAGCAAACAGAACTGGCTTTGGTGGACCTATTATTCACAGCTGAATAGGGAAGGAGCCAAACATACCAAACACTTCATCAAGTTCATTGTCCACTTTTTTCTGAACTTCTGGATAAGAACCCAATAGGTATAAGGACCAGTTTATCGCTGCAGCAGTCGTATCATGGCCCTGCAAAAACAAGGGAAAAAAGAAGAGTTTGAGAACATGAGAAGTGACAATAATAAATGCTTTTAAGCATCTGTGAGTTTGACAGCTGCAATATGACTGCAAATCATCACAGATCAATTCCATAAAGTATCTCATCTCACTGAGAGGCAAACAAGTAAGCTAAACAATCAGTTAGGAGTGGAGGTTTGTGCTTAGAGATGCCATTACACTGCTTCAGGGTGCAGCACGCCTGGTGGGAGAGGCTGGGCTGTTCCATGAAGGTGAGCATTCCAAAGAAGTGAGGTCAGTAAGACCTCTGTAATGAGAAAAATGTCTGATTCATGAGCCAACTTTGCAGATCTGTACTTCCCTCCCTTTCCCTCTTGGAAAGGCAAGATTTACCTGCTGATGGTAGCCTCCAGAGAGCACAAGTGTACTCTGGGTAATACTTGTATTCTTTACATCAAGAAATTAATCAACAGCCTGATTCATGACTCGGGCACATTTTAAGCAAAGTGCTGAAACTATCTCCATGGATCCTCACAATAACTCCAGGAAATATTTCTTATTGCTACTTGCATTTTAGAGATTTAATTCTTAGGCAAAACAAATTTCTTTAAAGGTTATTTTTTTAATTCCCCAGGTCCAGAGAGTTTAGCTGGAGGCAGAGACAGGAAGCAAATCCCTGGAGAGTCCCATGACAAATGAGAGCCCATGCTGTTATGCTCCACAAAGCAAGGACTGGGCTGGGTAAGGAGATTACATCTCCAAGCCCAGTGTTAATTCCACCACGGTCCTCCACTCTGCCATGGATTTAGCATTCTGCCTCTGATCTCCTTCAAACTGGTGAGACCTTTAGGAATAAAAGAATGCATTGATGTAAAATCAGTAGTTGTATTAGAACTCTACAACTAAGGCTTTTATAATAAAAAAAGGAAAAAAAACTTTGTGGATAATATTAACTTTCTATTTTCCCAGTGTGATGCAAGTGGTTGTTGTAGTATGTCAATTTCTGGGCCAAAATCTCTGAGGTTCTTGTTTTACTAGTCAGCTATGAGACTGAACTTTTTGAGGCTTATTTTGAATTTTATTTAAATATGTATTTTGCAAGTCTCTGATATATTTGTCTTGTTGCATTTGCTTACAAACTGGCAGCTCCTTTACAAAGTTTTGGAACTCCAGATGAGGTTTGGCCCATTTCACTCACTTGCCTACTGAGTCACATAAGAAATATCATTTATTTCAAAAGACTCAGAAAATAGAACGAAAATATACATTTATTTTTGGAGTCAAACGTTTTTGAAACTCTTAGATGTGAGGAATTTTCAAAAGTTTATGATAAATTTATTATGAGAAAAACTATGTATGGATTTCAAAACTTCTGCACCCAACTACATTTAATTTCATTTTACCAGAGCTTTGGAAAGCACCCTCTTGCTCTCATTAAATCAGCTCTAACGTGTTTTGAATGTGTGCGTGGAAGCCCAATCCATTGCAAAAATGAACTCTACCAAACTTGCTTTATTTTACTTTCTGCTATCCCCAGAAAACAAGATGAAGTAATACATAGAGCACAGTTATTGATGCAAAAATAGGAAAGAGGAGAGGCAAGCACTGTAATATCCGGTGTCTGGAACCCGAATGTAAAAGAAAAGGAGTGTAGGCCTGCACATACCTCATAGTAGTCACAGTGTGACAGTAGCTCAGGGGATGTCTCCTATTCAATGCAAAGAAGAACTAGAATTTCAAAGGACCAAGGACAAAGGAGATCATTATTGGTGTTTTCATGAGTAAGAGGATACTAGTGAGAGATACATGTATGTGTGTGCATGTCCTGGATCAGGATGGAGATGTGACATCTATTCACTTCAACATCAAATACCAGGCCAGTATCCTGTGTCAGGCTAAAATAACACTAATGGGTAATGATTGTGATGGAGTGAATTAAGCCACATCTTAGCACATCTGTCTTCCATGTTGGAATGCCTGGGGTAGGGGACTGCCTCAGCTTCTGATCCAGCTTCCAGCCAGTGTGTACCCTGTGAGACAGCTGGTGATGGAACACATGCTTGCGCCTCTACCAGCCAGGAGAGAGACTCAGATGGAGTTCCTGATCCCTGTTTCAGGCGCTTGGGGAATGAATCAGCAAATGGCAGACATACTCTCTCTCCCCATAAGTATGATTTTCAAATAAGTAAATAAATTTTTAATGTATTCATATTCTATCTAGTTTTGTGTGCAGTACAAAATTGAAAACTTGACACCTTTCACTTTCCTTGGGAGACATTACTATAGGAAGATTTCAAAGCACATTCCTATCTTTATTTTGCAATTCATGTATAGAAAAAAACACCCTTTTTAATATTTATTACAATATCTAAAACTGTTTTATTTGTAAAATGTACTTTTCCTTTAAAAATAGAAACCAGGAGTCTGTTTGGGATCACAGTTGAGTTAAATTATTTATAGGAGGGCTATTATTATCATGCTTGGCTAACGTGGCTCATGGCACTAGCTAAGAGATTGTTTGCTAGAACTTTAAAAGAGAGGTAATCAAGATGGGTTTGTGGACTTGGGAAATGAAGAGGAAGCAGGAGGCAATGCAGAGACCTGGTCTCAATTTCTGGTTGCTCTTCTGCTCTGGAGAAGTCTGACTGACCTTGGTTTTCTTGAGGAAAAAAAAAAAATGCTGCTATAGACATCATCAGTCAAAATCTTAATCTGAAGAAAGGAGTTGATCTGGTACTTAATGAAGTTCTCATACTTGGTACTTTCTGATAATACAATGAATCTTCTTTAGCAGTATTAGACTACTTTAACATTTGAGCAATTTATTAAAACTGACTAGAAATTGTTAAGGAAATGTGAAACTAACAAAACAGAAATGCAATGGTAAAGTACCTCAAACATGAAAGTGTCAACTTCTTCTCGAATATCCTCATGACTTAACTTGTTCCCTTCATCATCAGTCACAGTCAAAAGCAAGTCAAGAAAAGCCTTGCGTTTGACTTTGGAGGAGGAATGATTCCTGTCAGCATCTTGGCCTCCTTCATCTGTCTTCATCGCACAGGCTCGCTCAGCAATGACCTGTAAGATTTAAATTCCAGCCATGATTTGTTGACACTTGGATAGTCTTGTAACACAACTTCCCATGTAAATATATTGGTTCAGCTTATTTTTTCTAAACCTTCCCCTTCCTGTCCATTTTAGTAACAACCAAGTCTCTCCTAAAACCAGAGTAGCGTGTCCTAAGTAACATCCATGACATTATTTGGTGAAGCTTTTAGACTTCCTGGCAGACAATTCCCTTGATTCCAAGTGTTATTTTTGTCATATTTGCACTGTGGGAATAGCATCACAGTTTTCTATGTAATGCCCTAAAGATTTCAGTAAAGTGGCAGGGAGAATGCAATCATTACATAATACACTAGTTACTGATCATGCTTAATTTAATTTTCCCTGGAAAAAGAAACAGCAAGTTGTGTTGTTCAGTTCACCCTGGTTCTCATCCTGTCTGCTATGCCCTTTCCTCTGTCTGCTGGCTGGCCTCCTCCCTACTCTGTTCGCTGCCATTGTCACGATGCCAGAGACACCCTTAGTTGCTTCCTTAGTCCTCAACATTCTCTATCTGCCTAATCTTTGGCTTTCTCCACTTCATTTACTACCTGACATATTGTTTAGAGTCTTTCTTCTCTAACACAGATGACCATGTGACTATGAACGTGACTTTGTTCAATAACGTATTTTCAACCTCCAGAGTACTGCTTGCCATTTTAAGTAGGCTCATGAGATAGCTGTTGGATGAAAAAAAGGATTAAAGCCCATGAACCTCATCTGACAACTTACATTTATTGCAATATCTCTATTATTTCTGAATTAGAAATAAAATTATAGTTATTTGTAAATCTTTTCAAAGTTTAAGATTAAGCCTTTACTGTCTTTTGCTTTTGAAAACTTTTGAAACAAATAGGTTCCAGAATAGATCTTTGTCTTTTCAGTCTTCTAACACACTGTATCTTACTTTGCAATTTGTTTATAGGTAACCTCTGCTACTAAGCTATCTTCTTTTAAGGTAGGAACATATCTGTTTTATTCACATTTCCAATAATGGGTATAGTAGTATTTGGCACTTAATAAGTGTTTAATATTTGCTGAACATATAATTTGTAAGTATACTGACCACTTTTTCTCATGATCATTAAGTTTGACTTTTGTTTCATTAAACACAGACATTTGGCACTATTGTGGCATATTAATAAAATGGAAAAAAAAATCACAAACTTATAAAAAGTTCCTGAAATGGATAGTTATAATGGTCATACAACAGTGCTAATGCACTTAATGCCACTGAGTTACACACTTAACATGGTTATAACCATAAATTTTATAGTACATATAGTTTGTAAAACAATAAAAACCCTCAAAGACTTACACTGTCGGTAAACTCATGTAGGATCTTAAGACACCTCTTGTGTTCTCTCCCTTCTTTAAACATAAGGTACCAAAGGTCAAGCCAAAGCCAGGGCATCTTCATTCTTCGGAATATTACATCACTCATCCTATGAAGACAATAAGGGCACTTCAGTGATTCCATTGGAAATGTTTATTTCCCGAGCACATGTGTGGTGCCTGGCTTTGATGAAAATGATATTTAGATGAGAATGTTGGTCATTTCTAGAGGGTACTAAGAGAGTATATGCTCTACAACAAAATACAGTCCATTACACATTTGATGAAGTCTTTTAAAATTATGGATTAAACTGCTCTTTGAGATGCTGGCAAACGGGCACCAGTTCTAGTCATGGCTGTTCCATTTCCAGTCCAGTACCCAGCTGATATGGCTCAGACAGCAGCAGAAAATGGTCCATGTACTAGGACCTCTGCATCCCATGGAGACCAGGTTGAATTTCCTGGCTCCAGCCTGGCCCAGTCCTCCAGACATGGTGGCCATTTAGGGAGTGAAACAACAAATAGAAGGTCTTTTTCCACACCTTTTGCAACTGTATCTTTCAAATAATCAAGATAAAATGCTTTTTAAAATAATTAGTTCTTTAGAGGAACGCAGAATCTCTATAAACCATCTCTCCTAGCCCGTTTCTGGTCTCCAATTCTGATTCTCCAGGAGAGTTCTCAGTTTTCCAAGATCTATTGGGACTTCATATCAAAGACTACAATGAAATATCCCTCATATGAAGGTCCACTCATTCATTTGATCATTCCTCAGGAGTGAAAAAAATTGACTTCCTTGTTCTATGAGAAAATGCACTCTAAATACTTATCTGTCAGGTGGCTAGCGCCAACGCCCCTTCATTTCCAGAAATCCAGCAGAGAAAATACAGCAAGACCTTCCCTTTATGACCAACTTGGAGGGCCTGTTCCTCAGAGAAGAACTCTTGTGCAATATATCCTTGCTTTCTTTCCCAATTTCAATTCAGTCTTTCTACAGCAATTATAACAATTCATAAGTTTAGATCTATTTCCCATGCTGCTCTTTTTCATATCCTACCATAAAACCATAAGTACAATGGCTGGCAAATTATGCTAGCAATTTTAGAGTAAAAATGATTATTTGAGTCACAAAAAGTGATACCTGTTCAAGGCAGAATATTAAAAAAAGACAAAACAAAACACAATAAAAATATACAGACAAATAATGAAAAACATAGGTAACATTTGATGTGGTATCTTAGGTTTTCTTTTCTATGAAATTTTTATACTGTAGTGGTATCATAATTACACAATTAAAAATATTTTTGTTATTACTATGCTATTTCAGAATAGCACAATTGTATTAAAATAATCATTTTGAATAACTGCATAAAAAAGACATGGTATAATTTATATAACCACTTCTTTACTATAAATATGAAGAGATTTCAAACAGCTCATGAAAAATTCACATTATTTTTAAATTACAGTTTTCCATGAAATGTTGAAGCCCCCTTTTGCATGCTTAAACAATTAGATAAATTTTTATTGTTTTTCATTTATTATTTTTAAAAATTTACTTATTTACTGATTGAGTTGAAAACCAGAGTGATAGAGAGAAAAAGAGACACATGGAAAAAAATCTTTCACCCACTGGTTCATTCTCCAAATGTCCACAACATCTGGAGCTGGGCTCAGCAAAGCCAGGAGTCAGGAACTCTAGTGTGGTCTCCCACGTGGACAACAGGGGCTTAAGTCCTTGATCAATCTTCTACTGCCTTTCCAAGCATATTAGCAAGGCTGTGGGTCAGTGGCAGAGCAGCCAGTTCTCCAAGTGGCACTCTACTATGAGATGCTGGCACTACTTAACTTACCAAGCTACAACACCAGACCAAGTTAAAGATTTAGCTTAGCATTTCATTTTTAAATAAAAAATGATGCAACATGGTGAGATTATCAGCCGTATTTTAAGCCTCAATCACTAACACTTTCAAAACAATTCAAGGACTCTGTTTACCTATAAACAGCACGAACATACTCAGAATCTTCATTGCTTTGAGCACCAATATTTTTCCCCATAGCTGTTTCTATAAAAGATGAATGAGAAGCAACCATTGAATTCACAATTGCATCTTGCCTTTATTTTTACAATAGTAGAAACTGAAAAAGTAAAAGAAACAAATCCTGTTCTGTCCTTACGTATTCTAGAATTGTTCTTTCCCCCTTTGTCTTTTCTTGTATTTTCTGCTTCTCCTCCTCCCTGTTCTATCTTTTCCACCCTGGCACATGGACTCGGACTGCTCTGCCCTGTGTTGTGGCGTGGCTGCTGTTCCTCCGGAGGTTCAGGCAGCAGTAATCCCTCCTGAGGACTCCAGGGGCCTTCCCAGACCCTTCGTTAGTCTTCCCAGTGGAATGTGATTTTCCATGTAGGCCCTTTTCACCATAATTTTATAGAAAAACCCGGTGAAACTTACCACAGATTATATCTAAGGCACAAAGAGTGATGTAAAAAAAGCAGTTGAAAGCTTCTTGGTCAACGTGCTTTTCAAGTTTATGAACCAATAGAGTTGCTTGCTCATTCATAACATCTAAGAAATCTTCCAGAATTGTGAAATGGAAAGTAGGTGTTAACATTTTTCTCCTCGAGCGCCATTTATATCCAGTACTGGAAATGAAATATATGGTGACAAAGAAAGGAGAGTGACATCCACAACAGATAAGAGTCAACAAAATTCTGAAACAGTTTAATCTACATATCTTCAAATGCTTTGGTCATCATGACAAAGATTTTCATAGACAATAAATATCATGAACTTTGTCCTATGATAGTAATATCTAAAATGGTATTCATAAAATTGATAATTTAATCATTTTTCTTCATTCCCAACTTTCAAGTTTCTAAGCATACTAATCTTTTGCCCTTCTCTCATTACCTTAGCTATTCCATCCATGATTCTACCATGATCTCTACTGTAATCAAACTCTTCAAAATCCGTACAAATGTGCTACTTTTACTTTGTTGGACCACTCTCAGAAGATGGTGTCATATTTCAGGATACAAGTTTAAAGATTGAGGTCCCTGAGATTAATGTACTTCTCACGCTTTGCCTTTTTGATTGGATTTTCAAAATCCTTTCGCTCCAGGCAGTCCTATGCTTTGCTCCACCCATTCTTCATGATCTACTAATTCTTCTTGGTACTCTGTGATGGGTACTGTTGACTTCCATGGGGTCTAGATTACCACCCACACTGGTCTCCTGTCCATTAACAGAACCTCTCCCACCAGCCTCTCTACTCCTACCCAGCAGCACAATGTTGTTACAGAAAAGCAATTCTGTGCCTATGTCAGAGATAAAAGGTTATGCACACGAGCAACTGTCTCTATCAAGTGGCTTTACACTGGCATACCTTGTAAGAAGTCCCAGGCCAAGCCATGGCTCTAGAAACTTGTACATGGAGGATTTGTCAATTTGTTTTGAACTAGTTAAAATTACCTTTGTAAGAGAAAACAAAAAATAATTGAGACATATATAGACATCAGAACAAGTTTAAATACAGAAATACCTGGCTACAACACAACTGTTTCTAAGGCAAGATTTCATAACCTTCATTTCCCCTATGATTCTTTTCTGTTCCTGTGTCTCAATGAAATTCGGTGTGAGCTTTGAACATATACTTGTCATTCAATTCTGGTATTTTCATTCAATCCCATGCTTTGAACACACTTCTATCTGTATATTCCAAACCCACTTCTACCAGGTTAGCAATGGCAGGAGTCCATTGCTCTATCATCTCATTATTATGTCTGAACTGGATTGTGGAATAGGCAGCAAAGAAAACTCTAGCATTTTCACTACCACAGCTGAGAAAAATAAGTCTTTGTACTATCCCCTAGGATATTTTGTTTTTAGTTCTGTTCCAATAGAAATTCTACCTTTCCAATTGTTACTCCTTGATCTAAATCCAATTCTAACAAGCTCATAGGATGATTTACTCCATGTTATAGCAATATGTAAAAGACATGCAATCCTTCCGAAGACTAATTCCAATAGCATGGATTATTAACAATATGTACCCTATCAATATCAGAGTAGCATTATTTTAAAAATTTGCAGTAATAAATTTGCCATTAATATTAAATGAGACCCTAAACATTTTGAGGGAAACCCCTATCTACTAGTCAAACATTTTTGGGAGTCTAAAAACAGTGGCAGGTAATAAATGTGCACTTTATTGAATTATGTACTTGTGATTCTGAAAATATATGAATCTCATTCTGCAGACTTTAAGAAAGAACAAATACATGGAGATAGATAACTGAATGATGCCAGACTCCCCAGCATGCAGACTACACCTGAGATAGTAAATGGTACACATAAAGTTTGAAATATGGGGTCAGAGTTACAGCACAGCCAGTTAAGCCACCACCTGCACTGCTAGCATCCCGTGTTAGAGTACCATTACTGGCTGCTCAGCTTCTGCTGTAGCTCCTTGCTTCTGTGCCTGGTGGCTGAAGATGGCCCAAGTGCTTCGGTTTTTGCCATCCAGTGTGGGAGACGTGAATGGAGTTCCTGACTTCTGGATTCAGCTTGGCTCACACCCAGCTATTGCCAGCATTTGGGGAGTGAACCAGTGTAATGAAATAATCCATCTCTCTTGCTCTCTTTCTCTCTGTGTTTTTACCTCTTTCTCTGTTATTCTTTCAAATGAATAAATCTTCTTTTAAAGTCCAAAGTGTCTAATAAAATTCTCTTGTACTGAATTAAAGGAGATGACGAACACATTGCTAATATTTATTCTGATGAAAATCTCATATAGCCAAATACACAGTGCAGTATTGATCTTCTTTACCACATACCCACCTCCACATTTTCTGCATTATAAAGGGCCACCATTGGTATTGGCCCAACCCAGAGTTTCAGCAGCGGCAAGTGTCGACATTCTTCTGTGTACTGAATTAACTGCTGGAAAAATTCTGGGAGAAAAATATTTAATTTTCAATTCAAGAAGAAAACAATTTTGCTGATGGTGTTGGGCAAATGTATGTTTCCTCAATTTGAAAAACAGACACATTATGTAACATGCACCACTACAGCAAGCTGGGTAAAGGTCAGATGTTTTGCAACTTTTCTGCAGACTTAAAATAATTTCAAAATTATATTTTCATAACAAGCAAATATAATAATTTGATACTAGACGGTAGTTACATTTAAGTTTTGATGTACCGAAATATGCACTTTTTTTTTTTTTTATCATTGCACAGTGTCATGGAACTAGCAACAAGTGGAGTTGGACTTTGTATCAGGACACCAGGCATGCTACCTTAACCTGTACCTCACAACAGTGTCATTTGGATAAAAGAATTCCCAAAATTGTGAGGAGAACTGGGCCAAACCACCACTGTCAAACCTCTTGCTCCATGTTGACATGCCTGCCTTGGTCCAGTCTGACAGAAGGGACAGGGAAGTCCGGAGCTGCGGTTAACTTATCAGCTCAGCTGACAGCAGCTGGGGAAAGCAGATGTTGGCATGACACATAGAAAAAGCATGAGGCTGGAGTTCACAGGCCAACTGGAAGCCAAATGCAATCTTCAAGTTGAGATTACTGAGGTCAGAACTGGGACATAGTCACAGGATACAAGGACAGCCTCTTATAAAATAGCTTGTCAAAGAATTTATTCTAATGAAGTTCTAGACAGTGATCTGGAAGCTGCATGCATTAAAACTTAATCCTTAAAAATAGGATGAAGATAGCTGTTTTAACAAGTAATGCTCTCTAACTTGGAAAACATTAAACAACTTTCAAAAAACTTTTTTTACAAAGCTAGAAAATTAGCAGCTAGAGGATAGGTACCTTGGTGTAGCAGGTAAAGCCACCGACTTAGGCACCAGCATCAAATGTGGATGCCAATTTGAGTCTTGGCTGTTCCACTTTCCATCCAGCTTCCTGTTAATGTGCCTGGAAAGCATTGTTAGATGGTCCAAGTGCTTGGGCCCCTGCACTCACATGGGAGACCCAAAAGAAGTTCCTGGCTTCTGATCAGCCCAACTTTGGCCTTTGCAGCCATTGTCTCTCTGTTTCTCCCTCACTCCTTCTCTCTGTGTACTCTACCTTTTGAGTAAATAAACAAATCTTTAAAAAAAAATGAAAATGAGCAACTGTTTTCCTAATGTCAAAATCCAATACTTCTTGATGGAATGAAAACTCCCTTTGTAACTGATAATATACAGTCATTCTCTCACTGAGAAAGTAACTTCAAAGAGAATTATTTTAAACAATCCAATCAGGTCACAGGTTTTGTTTTGTTTTGTTTTGTTTTGTTTTGTTTTGTTTTGTTTTGTTTTGTTTTGTTTTGTTTTGAAACACCGTACTCTCTAGATGTTAAATCCTAATTTAATTTTCTTGGAGTCCCTATAAAAATATAAGATTCCTTTTTAAAAAGATTTATTGATTTATTTATTTTAAGTCAGGACTTAGAGAGAAGGCAAGAGACAGAGACAGAGAGAGCTCTTCTATCCATTGGTTTACTCTCCAAGTGGCTGCAATAGCCAGGGCTGGGACAGGCAGAGCCCAGGATCCAGGAGCTTGCTCCAGATCTCTCATGTGGGTGTAATGGGCCAAAGACTTGCTGCACCCACCACTGTCTTCCCAGGCACATAATCAGGGAGCTTGATCAGAAGTGGGGCAGCCAGGACTCAAAAGTGGTGCCCATCTGGGATGCCAAGGTCACCCAATCCACTGTGCTGTGCCACAATGCCAGACGATGAGAATTCCTAAGGATGTCAATTTTTACAGAGCTAAAGGAGGCCTGTATTTCTTCATTATTTTCAGTGCCATAAATCCCAAAAGAAGAGGTTATCTCTTTTACTGAGACCCAAGTTGATTTTTTTTTTTAAAGAGTTATATTTTTGGGCAAGATTCAATGGCTCAATTAGGTGATCCTCCACCTCCAAGCACCGACATCCTACATGGGCACCAGTTTGTGTCCTGAATGTTCCACTTCCCATCTAGCTCCTTGTCTGTGCCCTGGGAAAGCCGTGGAGGATGGCCCAAAGCCTTGCACCCATGTAGGAGACCCTGAGGAAACTCCTGGCTCTTGGCTTGGGATCGGCTCAGCTATGGCCATTGCAGCCATTTGGGGAATGGATCAGCGGATGCAAGATCTTTTCTCTGTCTCTCCTTCTTTCTGTGAATCTACCTTTCCAATGAGAATAAATAAGTCTTTTTAAAAGATTTATTTTGAAAGAGTTGGAGAGAGAGAGAGAAGGCGGGGAGAAAGAGAGAATGAATTTTCCCTCTGCTGGTTCACATTCCACATGGCCTCAACATCCAGGGCTGGGAGATTCCAAAGCCAGGAGCTAGGAGCTTCTCTGGGTCTCTCACTTAGTTGCAGAGGCCCGAACACTTAGGCCATTCTCCACTGCTTTCCCAGGTAGCTTAGGAGAGAAGTGGAGCCTAGAACAGCCAGGACACAACCAGGAGCCTGTAAAGGATGCTGGTACGGTGCCACTGCATCCAATGCAGTGCCAGCATTGCAAGATGGTGGCTTAACTGACAATGCTGCAGCAGCAGTGGCAAACCAAGTTGATTTTCACCAATGTGATTTTCATGTTTGTAAACGTGTTGTTGAACTACTTTTAAAAATTAATCATGTTGCTTACTTGGTTGGCAAAATAATTTTGCTTGAATTTCCTCTGCCAGAGAAGAATTTCAAAACATTCTAGAAAACATCCCCCACGAGAGTTCCCACGAAGCTTGGACGACAGTGATGTTTATTTGGGGAAACAGAAGTGAAAATGAAACAATCTCAGGAGCCTCAGAGTTAGTGCTCAGTCTGTAAAAACATAACAACTAACGCGAGGAGGAATGTGATAGATTTTAACATAGAGGACATTTGCGGAGACGTCTTGGTCCTAACTTCAGCTCTGGGTATTCTTAACATATGTACTCATGAAGATCAAGTGCTGACATGTCGCCCCTGTTCCTGATGGGGAATTGCCAATACCAGGTACTTCTGAGAACTTTCTAACTTTAAAATAAGCCTCCCATCTCTGCCACCAATTTCTTTTTAAAAGATAACTTCAATGAAAGAAAAATGCACTCTTCCAAAAAAACCCCAAAACTTTAGAAAATTCACACATAAGTATGCTTTGATGCCCTGCTAAGGCAGCTTATCAGCTCTTAGTTACCATGCAAACTACTTAGACAAGCAGAAACGGGAAGCTCAAGGAAAAAAGAAAGTAGTGGTCCAGCCTTGGGAGGTAAAAGCACCCTGAGGTGTCGGGGAGCGAGGGACAGATGAATCCCCAGTCTCCTGTTTTCCAAAGTGAGAGAGGACTGAGCAGCTAGGAGGGGAAAGAAGAGAGGACAGGAGTTTGGAAACACATCATTCTTTGGTAACATAGGGAAAATTGCGGGAGGTGGAAGGTGGCCCTGGAGATGCTGACAGGTGGCGGAGGGAAAACTAAGTAGAGCCAGAATTCCCATGAATACCTGCTACATTCTGGCGAGGGCCTCGGGTCCTGCAGTCCAGGCCAATGAGAAGGCGCGCGGGAAGGAGCCGTGCGGACCCCCGGGCGTGGCCCCAAGAGGTGCTGCCGCCGGATGGGCGGTGCGTGCCGGCCGAGAACCCCTCAAACCCTTACCTTTCCCGCCCGGCTTCATGTGCAGCGCGTGTCCCACCAACGGCAAGGCGATGCCGATGGACGGGATGGGCTTCAGTTGCTGCCATTTGCGCGCGTAGCTTGCCACCATCTGCAGCAGTTGCAAGATGAGCGAGGCGCCCGCCAGCGACGCGGCACTCGCCGCGCCCCAGAACAGCAGCTTCTGCCCGACGAGCCCCAGCCAGAGCCACATCCTCTCTGTGCTTGAGGTCGCCGCTACAGGGTCCGTGGGGCGGGTGGCCGGAGACGGAGATTGCCAGGCCCTGTTGGCTGCCCCCTGAGGTCCTGATCCAAGTTCAAGTGCTTAGTGCTCGGGTCCCGGGAGGAGTTTGTGGACTCCGGGAGGCGGGAGTGGCCGCCGGGATGAGGTTGGGAGGGGGGTGGAGGCGGCTGCGAGGTCTGGAGGAGAAAGCAGATCTGACAGGCCCGAGGCTGTCGTGCTTCCCTGTCTGGGCCGCAGGGCAGAGGTCTCCAGGCGCCGCCCTGGGGGTGGCTTTTGTGAACCGGGAAGCCTGCTGGATGGCGAGCTCGCCTCGGTGGGGCGCCAGCCGAAAGCGAAAGCTCGGATGCTGAGTTCTGAGCTTGCAGGAGTGCTTTGGGGAGAGAAAGGAGGTTTACATTTAGGGCAGCATCGGGATGGAGAAGTTAGAACTCGTCGCCAGCTTCCTGCATTCTGCTCTCTCAGCCAACCGGGGTGGGCTGAGTTTTGGCTTAAGGGACCCCATTGCTCACTGCATTGGCCGCCGACCGGACCCGCCGCCAGCTGGCTTCCTGAGAGCGACACTGCAGCCACTTTGTTGAGCCAGAGTAGTCCTAAAAGCTTAAGCTTGGGAACTGCCGCCAGTTTACCCCAGGCCCCTGCTGGGTGAAGAGAGTTTTAACATACTGGACGTTTAGCATATAGGACACTTGGAGGAATGTCTGATCCAGCTATTGCTCCCATTCCCATACACTTCACACCCAGGAAAGCCCGAGCCTAAGAGAAGTGAATGGGAGCGAAAGAGGACAAAGAATGAGGATATTCAATGTGGTGTGCTGGTGCTAGCAGAGGAGGGCTTAATCCGGAGATGATAGTGCTGGAACTCTGTGGAATGAACCTGTGGGAGGAACAGCGACCCGGAGAATTCTGATTCTTTGGGGGAAGGGGGAGGAATATTCAAAAAACTATCTTTTTTCTTTTCCTGCTCTCAGTTGTGTGCCACATATCCTACTCTCATTCTCTTCCTTCACTTGAACCTTCCCGCTAAAGGGCAAGGAGTGTCCCTGTCCCAGTAGCAGATCACAAAGTGCTCAGTACCAAGGGAGGTGAAAAATAAAGAGCGCCTTGGATTCCGGCTCTGCTTAATTGGGTTCGTTTCCATTGAACTACTGCGCACGTAGCCAACAGCAACCTGCAAGGCCTCTCTGACGTGCAGAAACACCGAGGCTTTTCTAAATCATATTTGTGTGCTTGCGATGGAGATTCCTAAAACATGAACTGGAAAAAGAAAGTTGTTGAACAGAGTACATGGTGTAACCCCATCTTTAGAAGAAAAGGTATCTCCATATCTTCACTAATATCCGGGGAAACACACTAGTCAGCACTTACAGATTGGGATCGGAAAGGGCAATTTAGGTTTTTTTGTGGAACTCTCCTGCATATTGCTTAACCACTTTAAGCCTTTTAGAAAATGTTTTTATATAATATCTTTAAATGTATCCGCTTGGGCTTTGATTTCTTCCCTTTGCGTAGGGTTGAGGCTGAACTGTAAGGTCAATTGCAGCTATAAAAATGAATGATTCATCTGTATCTGATTCCAATAATCTCCAAGAACAAAACAAGGGTTCTTAACAGGGATTGCAGTTTGTAATCTCTGTGACTCCCTGGTCTGTGAACAAGGCAAGGACTGTGCAATGCAACAAGGACTCCTATTTGTATCTGACTTTGCTGATTCTATGGGCAAAGCAGGGACTATGCCCTCCACCGTGAAGAGGTGGGGCGGCAAGCCTGATGTGGCCAAAGAAATGCAGCGGAGCAGGGAAGAGATTGAGGCCAGGGCCTGTGCCTGTAGCACGGGGTCTCTTGCAGGGCCCCAAGCAAGATGCAGGTGCATAGGCTGAGTGGAGCAATACGAAAGAGACCTGGAATGCTAGGCTAATATTGTGTTTATTTTGAAGGCCGTTTGAGAGTGAGAAAGAAGGGTCCTGATAAGTTTTGGGGGCAAAGGGCAGCTAAGTAAAAACCTTATCCTTGTGTTGCCCTCCTCACCTTTCCCCGAAGACACTGACAACACACCTAGGAAATCTTTGGAAAGTTCCCCAGGAAATGTTAAAGCACTTTTGTAGCCAGCAAATACATTGCTGAGGTGAGGACAATGGACATGACACTTAGCTCAGTAGTTTGTCAGCTTGGCCGTCCTGATCTGACCAGTACAGAAAGTGTCTCCTTACTTTGCCTGATTCAGAGGGGCCCCTTCCACAGCTCTATGATTTTCACACCTGCTGAAAGTCAGTGCTTCCGAAAGTAACGAACAGGGCCCAGAAAATGTTATAAGCTACAAGGAAATCTTTGTAAATTGAAACTTCTGTTTTCCACATTTTCTGTCACTAGCAATGATTTGTTATTTAAAAAGGGATGTTTAATTTAAATTGTGAAAATAATCTCCTGATTGGAACTATGTTATCTGCTTACTTCATGTACATTAGACCGTAACAGCAGCGGGAAACTTTGTCATCAAATTTCGGATATCAGATATTGAAACCAAATGAAGTATGCAAGTTCTTTTTATAGAGAAACATCACTTCAGTGTAACCATCACCCAGATCACGTACAGCCTTATGGCACACACTGTGCCTGACTTTTCAAATCTGAGGTTGTATCTATTACTGCATGTAGAGTTTCTCCTAATTTGTCATAAATGTATGCTAGTTCTTTAGTTTGAATAGATCACAATTTGTAACCCATTTTACTGCCAGTGGCCATTTCCAATTTTTCTATCTTAGGATTTGTATGTATAGATATAAATATACACCTATTTCTGTCGAATATATGCGTAAGAGTGAAATTGCTAAGTCATATGGTATATGTATATTTACACATTATACCATAATGCCAACCCTGGTGTACATGTCTTTAGCCTGAATAATTACTGCCAGTTTGCCTCAATGGTACCAGCTTACACACTCATCAGCAATTTATAATAGCTTGAGCTGATGAGTGTATTTCTTAACTTGTGTATTGCTTTAAGATATTCAGTTAGGTGTGTAGTGGTAATTCACTGCAGTTTAATAGGCATCTTTCTAATGATTTATAATAGTAAGCACCTTCTCATAAGAGTATACAACTATAAAATATCTACTAATTATTGGTCCATGTTTAAATGGGATGAAGAACAGACTGAGCCAGTCTGTTGCACATGCTGGCAAGCATAGGAGCCAGGGCTGGGGGCAGGCCTACTAGTGGTCATGGTGGGTTGCTCCAACTAGGCTACAACTCTTGCTGGGGGTACCTGAGAGCTGAGTATGTGGTCGGCAGGGTTGGACTGGGCCACAGCATATACTGATTTATGTAAGAAATGGGCTAGAGACAAACTGACCCAACAATTGCAGCTCCCAGTGTGTGTGTTTGCTAATGTGAGTGATGGACAGAGCCAGACCCAGTCCTGCAAGCATACACAAGAGTCAGGTCTAGGATCACTTTAGACAAGGTTTCTTTGATGATATCCAGACTGAATTGCTAGACTCAGAACTGCAACAATGGGGAAAATTGTAGGCTCTGTTGTCTGACTGTGGAGTTTATGTGTAAGAACTCGGCCTCCTCAGTGTCTTAGATGGAGCAGTAGATGGCATGCCCAGGTGCACATGGAGGATACGGCAGGCTCTTGGAGCCTACAAAGGACATCTAGTACAATAGCAGAGGAAGCAAGGCAGAACAATCTGGTCAACTACCCCAGCCAAGCTTGACAGCAAATTTCTCGGTGAATGGATTCTCCAAGGTAGACTATATCAGCCAATAGAACTTGGGAGGATTTCCTCATCCTTGAATAAAGAGACGGACAGCATTTCAGAACTATCAAAATCACCTGAACAGAACCCACAGAGCATGCTCCACATCAGGGATCCTCGGATGACATTGGGTGGCCATTCCCCATTCCTGGGTACTATGGCAGTTGAGAGGCTGGATGTGGTTTTTCCCCTTATCTGCCCCTTCCCAAATATACAGGAAAAGGAAAATGAATATTTGGAAACAATGATCTACCTAACTTTTCCCTAACCCTTCCAACCCTAATCACCTATGTAAATGTCATCAAAGCTAGAATTTAAAATAATAATAATAATAATAATAATAATAATAAATAAGGTTCTGTCACTGAATTCTACATGTCAACATTAAGAGGAGCCACTTGACTGGATGCCCTAATGGCCAATAATGTCCTCCAGGCCAGAGAAAGATCTGAACAACATCTTTGGGCCTGACATGATGGCTCAATTGGCCAATCCACCTCCAAGTGCCAGGGTCCTGTATGGACGCCAGTTCATGTCTTGACTGCTCTATTTTCCGTCCTGCTTGTGGTCTGGTTATGCAGTGGAGGATGGCCCAAAGCATCAGGATCCTGCACCTACTTGAGAAACCCAGAAGAAGCTCCTGGCTCCTGGCTTCAGATTGTCTTAGATCCAGCCTTCGTGACCACTTGGGGAGATAGCAAAAACAGATGGAAGATCTTTTTCTTTGTCCTTCTCCCTGTAAATCTGCCTTTCCAATAAAAAGAAAGAATCTTTTAAAGACTTATTTATTTTTATTGGAAATGTAGATGTACAGAGAAGAGGAGAGACAAAGAGGAAGATCTTCTATGTGATAATTCACTCCCCAAGTTGCTTCAATGGCCAGAGCATGGCCAAACAGAAGCCAGGAGCCAAGAGCTTCTTCCAGGTCTTCCATGTCTGTGCAGGGTCCCAAGGCTTTGGGTCATCCTAGACTGCTTTCCCAGGCCACAAGCAGGGAAATGCATGGGAAAAGTGGCTACTGGGACATGAACTGGCACCCATGTGAGATCCTGGTATGTGCAAGGCAAGGACTTTAGCTGCTAGGCTACTACACCGGCCTAATTTATTTTTTTTTTAAGAAACCTATTTTAGCTCTTGAGGTCTTCAATTGATTATGTAAGCCTTATTCACATTATGAAGGGAGGTCTGACTTATTCATTGTCTACTGATTGTCTACTGATTAGATGTAAATCACAGCCAAGTAACTTTCACAGCAATAACTGGATTGATGTCTTGCCAAACTCATGGGGACCATATTGCAGTTGACACTTAAAAGTAGCCATTACAGGGCCCGGCGCGGTGGCGCAAGTGGTTAAAGGTCCTCATCTTGCACGCCCGGGATCCCATATGGGTGCCGGTTCTAATCCCGGCAGCCCCGCTTCCCTTCCAGCTCCCTGCCTGTGGCCTGGGAAAGCAGTCGAGGAC